ACGCAAACTAAATTATTATAGAAAAGTTTGCAAACGTATTCTTAAATTATTTTGCCCCCCCCAATAATTTGATAAAGTTGGCGCCTCTGTATATATATATATATATATATATATATATATATATATATATATATATATATATATTACGGTGGAGCTTATTATTTAAGTTTTGAAATAACTTCTTACTCCCTAATTTTGTTTGTCCAGATGAAAAAAAAATTCAGACAAAATATCAGCTTTATTTATCGGTAACTCAAGTTATGAATGTATTTCAGCTTTTAAGGCTTTTGCATATAGAACCCGTAGTAGGCGTTTGCATTACAATGCAGTATTTTGTAACCGGCTGAACACTGGTCACATAACTAAATCACATAATTATTATTAAATGTTAAATGCGACATGTTTATATTGTTAGGAAGCATTAGCCCACACTTGCTGACATGACTTTTGCATGACTTCAGCCACAAATGAATGCAATGCAAACACAACCACTCCGTCTTCTTACTTTGGCGCAACAATCGGGGGTTTAAAAAAATAAAACTGAAACCTACAAACTACAGAGGTGCAAGCAAGACAGGTGCATGCCCCAAATCAGCCGGAGCCATACTAAGAAAAAAAGTTTATTTTGTTAGCAACTTGGATGCATCAGTGTCATGCGAAGAAATAGTAGCATATCTTTGTCAAAATAATGTCAAAGTACTAACATGTCATGAGGCCAAGATCCGTCTAAATAAAGGATTTAGGATCTGTGTTAATGTCAACTCTGCAGACAGCAAACTAATTATTGACCCTAATCTATGGTCAGAGGACACCACTATTCGTGAATGGATCTTTATTTCTCACACAAAACAACCAGACAACAAAGAAACTGACAACAAATTCAATTTTCAGCCAAAACAGCCAGACAATAAAGAAAATGACAACAAATTCAGCTCTTATTCAAAACAACCAGACAACAAAAAAACTGACAACAAATTCAGTTCACAGCCAAAACAACCAGTTATTATTGAAACTGACATCAATTTTTATAGTGAATCCAAAATTCTAGATTCAAAGAAGATACTCCTAGACAACTCCACCAACAATAATGGATAAAAGCAATTTTCAATCAATTGATAATGTTTGTAGACAGTTGAATATGTTTAATACAAGTAAATATTTTTCTGTTTCTGAATTTTTAAATTTTTTCATGTTTTGAATGATGATAATGATATTTTGAAAAATAGCTTCTCCATACTACATATAAATGCTAAAAGCTTGTTTCATAAACTGGATAACCTTGAATTGTTATTGATTAACTTAAACTGTTCTTTTAGTGTGATTGTTATTACTGAGACTTGGTTGAATGAAGATTTGTCAAAGCTAGTGAACCTAAATAATTATAATTTTGTTGATTATCCCCGTAGTGAAAAAACTGGAAAAGGAGTTGGTATTTTTTTATTATAAATACCTTGCAATTTCCAAAAAAATTTGAATTTTCACAAGCTAATATATGTGAACTTCTTAGTATTGATACTGATCATTACAATTTAATTTTAATATATAGAGCCTCTAACTCAAATATTAATTTATTCTTTGAGTTTTTCAATTCTTTATGTAAAAATAATTTATCTAGCTCTGCTTATGTCCAAGGTGATTTTAACCTAAATTTGTTTTCTACTAGCCAAAATAAAGTGAATTTTGAAAATATCTTTTATTCGTTTAATTTATATCCATTAATTAATCAGCCTACTCGTGTTTCTAAATAAAGTTCAACACTGATTGACAAGGTATTTACTAATATTTTCTCTGACCATCAACCAGGAATTTTAAAAGTTGATTTTTCAGATCATTTTCCCATATTTTCATTCAACTTAAAACCATTTCCTTCTACTAAGAAAAGAGATTTCTCATATCGTAGAAATCTTTCCCCTTACGCAATATATAACATTAAATTATCTTTATTTAAAGTTAACTGGTACCCTTTATGTAACTCCTCAAATATTGATTTCTGCTGTAGCGTGTTCTAGTTAATTTTAAATAGTGTCTTGGATAATCATGCACCCATTAGCTAATTTAAATCGGAGACTTTTAAAAAATCATGGATTACTAAAGATATTTTGAACCTGTCAAAAAGAATTCATAACTTATATATTTCGCTTAAATCTTTTCCTAATAATAATATTTTGCAAACAAATAAAAAATTAAGAAACCGCTTAACGTCTCTCAAGAGATCTGCGCAAAGATCTTTTTTACGACAGTCAGTTTATTCGGGCTCATGATAATCCTAAACTTAAATGGAATATTATTAATTGTATTCTTAATAAAAATAAGGTTAAACAAAGTGGTGATATTAACAAAGTAAATCTTAATGGTAATATTATCACAGACAAATCGAGTATAGTAAATGCCTTTAGCGATAATTTCATTAATCAAGTTAAATTGGCACAAAATAGCTTTTCTTCTAATTCCTCTAGAAAGTTCGAGATATTGGATGATTCTGTCCTTACATTATTTCTGGAGTCATCTAACCCATTAAAAGTCCTTCGTATGATCAACTCTCTCAAAAATAAAAAATCCCTTTCAGATGACAATCTAAGTACTTTTTTTATCTTGAAATCAATTAAATATGAAATTTTAATCCCTCTTACTCATATATACAACCTATCCTTCGGCACACATGTTGAAAATATATTTACTAAAATTAATAAATTTATTGGTTTGCTATATAAAATTAAAAATAAAATTAACTATAATTTTTTAGAAGACTTGTATTATAGTTTTATTTATCCTTACCTTCATTATTGTAAACTCATCTGGGGAAATGCTCCTAAATATATCCTTGATCCTTTGCTTAAATCTCATAAAGGCTTTATACGAATCTTATTTGTTTATTTTGTTTAAAAACAAAATAAAGAAATATTTATTGAAAAAAAGTACAATTTTTATTTAATTAGAATCATGTAAATTGTGCATTATGTTAATTGTGTCATGAATTATAAATTTACTTAAAAATTGTGTTAGAATGAACAATTTGTGAACGGTGGCCTGCGACACAAGAATTTTGTTTTCTTTTAGCTTTGGTCTCCTATTCATTACCTAATTATTATTAATTTGGATTGATTGAATAAAATTTGATTTGATTATTTAATCTTAAAGCCAGAGACCATACTTCTGAATATTTTAAACTTTCAAGAAAATTGACTGTAGATCAAATTTACAAGGTTTCTGTGTCAATATTTATGTTTAAATATGTGAACAGTATTGTTCCTGGGTTTTTCCAAGCATTTTATACTCTAAGCAGTTCTATAAAGCGAAAGCATACTAGACATACCAAAATGTTTCATATTGTCAGGAATAAACTTAAGCTGTTTAATGATAGTATTAAAGTAATAGGTCCAGAAACATGGAACAATTTGCCTTGGGAAATCAAGAGCATTAAATCCCTTCTGAGATTTAAACGAAAAATAAAAATCTATTTCCTAACGTTCAAACCCCCTTAAATTATGTTAAGAGTGATTTTATATATTTATGTTTATGATATTTTTATATTATGAATATCTCTCTAGGTCTATTATTATCACAAATTGTTTATTCATACTTTGATAAATTGTAATACATTATAGTTTTATTACGTGTGTAAACCTATATGTATATATATATATATATATATATATATATATATATATATATATATATATATATATATATATATATATATATATGTTTGTTTGCTTTTAATGTGCTTGTATATATATTCTTTGTTAATTTTATTAACATTGAAGGTTTAATTGTATGCTGATTATATGAGCATTCAATTGGCGTTAAATGTTTGTTTACACTATTATCATTATTTCTGATCGTTTGATTCGTTGTGTCCTCAATTGTTTTTATGTGTGTTTTTGCACATAGCCTACATACTTAATTTCAACGATTAATTCAAGGATTGACGTGTTTGTGTTAACTGTTTGTTTTATTCATTCATTCGTTTATTTATTTTTTATTGCAAACGTATATATATGTCTGCATTCATAAGTGGATGAATATATATCCGTATGTAAAGTTTAACATCATTGTAACATTTTATATTCGGTTTCGAACTGTCAATTTTAGTTTAGGCACTACTACAAGTATGTATCTACTTTTCTTTTGTGCTTTCAAAACAAATAAAAAATGATCAGCGTGGTCATGTAGCCTTTTCTCATGTGCATGCCTGTCTTGCTGCTGACATCATCATTAGTTTCTAGTCCTGTCCATGTGTTGAGACAGTGTGCGGAGCGTCACTTTTGTTCATATTAATTGGTGCTGCGTGCTGGACAGATCATTTAGTTGATTGACATTGTTATTTACTGTAATAAAATTTTGATTAGATTACTAACGTCAAGTTGTAAAAGATATGGCAGCAGCAACTAGATCTCAAACAGAAGTTTATCTTCTGGGATGAACTGTGACTGAATTAACTGGCAGCAAGTTGCTTTTATGGCAAGGCTCTTGGCTATTTTATTCATCATCACATAAAACTGCATGAGACTATATAAAATAAAAGATGTACAAAACTGTCATACCAAATTAAAAAAAGCATTTGAAGAGTGGCGTCTGATTAAGAAGAATAAAGGCCGGCAATCTCAGACGCAACAGTTAAAAGAGGCTAGTTTGTTTTCAGATTAGATGATGAACTTTTTAATAGTACTCATGCCAACGCTCTTAGCATGATCTCAGTTGTCGAAAACAGAAAATTTCTGCTGGCTCAGCGAGAAAAGGGAAGAAGGGGAGATCAATGGCTGTTACAGACACAAAGTTAGCTGCAAAGGAGAAGAGAACAGTAGCTAGACATAAACAATTGCTTGCTAGACAACAGCGAATGAACGACTTACAAAGAAAGCAAAAAGAAAAAGTGAGTCTCAGCTTCGGTTTTTATTGCAGACAGTTGAGCAGCACAGGCAGGTATATCTGGACAGCAAAAAACACACATTGTTGAAACTGCGGCCAAGCACGTCATTTGTCAGCAGTGTAGAAAAGCACTAAATTTCTGCTTTGAACAGTTGTATATTCAAGAGCAGGCTACTGTTTGATTGAAGACAATGTTTGAAATTCAATGTTAAAATGCTGTTACATAGATGTATTCTAGAAATAATTTACATCTTTTCAATTTTTAAATAATTTGCTATTTTTTGTTATTTTTGATGAGCTTCCTCTAAATATAGCACTAAGAGACTCAAACTTTTTTTTATTTTTAGATGAGGAGAAAAAGTTCTGAGAAGTAAGATGATTTATTGAAAATTACAAATTTTATTTTTTTTTGGCTGTATAAGCTCCCCCCCCCCCTAATGTTTGGCTACAAGATGTTGCCTGTGCATCCAAGTTGTAGCCGTTTAACGCGCGTAGCCAAAAGAAAAGACACTATACTTGCAACAAAAAGACAGCATAATTAGAAGATAACATAATTAAAATAATGTATAATAATATCAACAGTAGCTGGGTAATTATTTGTTGAATTATTTTCACTTCGCCAATAAAAACATTGACAAAATTTGATTTATGCTTTTTCAGTTAAAAATCCTCTCATTTCATTATTCACTTTAGCGCCCTCTTGCCACCACCTATAAACGCATCGCCCCCCTACCGCCACTTTTGTTCCAAGTTCCCCCCATTTTTTAAAAATCGCCCCCTGGAGGCGTTTTCGCCCTCGTTAAAGACCACTGATTTACAGGGTATTGACTGTTTTTAATAACATTACAAAACTGTGGTGGAGGCATGGTATGAAGATGCGAAAATTGATGTGTACGACTGAATGTCAGCATTTTTGAACTCAAGTTGGTGACGGACCTGTTCAGTCTGGCATGTGTGTACTGAAGGAAGATGCCCGTGTCTCCGTTGAAGTTCAGAGCCTCGTCCCAATCAAACTTGTAATTGTTCATGCGCGACTGCTTCAGATCGAACACCACCACTCCACAAACTGCAAGCGCATCAGCCACAGCGTCCACATCTTCTTCAACAGTCACTTTTGTGGCTGCATTCATATAATAATCGATAGGAATTGAAAGACGAAAAAAATTGAAAGACCCGCTAAGAGACGTATGGGAATCTATGGAGGACTGATGATGTTACGAAATGAACTGGGGCGAACTCAATGATAACAGAGGAGTAAATAGTTTCCATCTCACCGGTGAGGCATTAATGAAAGATCAAAAGAGCGAAAACAAACTATGCAGGGATAAATTGACAGATAGTTAAATAGAGACATCAATAAAGTGCAAAGTGAAAATTATGCGAGAATGTAATAATAAAAAATGAACGAAACTAGAATTGCATCCAACTTGATCTAGCCTGCATTCTCTCCTTAACCGTTGATCTGGCATGTCGAATGAGGTCACTGAGAAACACAGCACTTCCCTTCCTGGTGCTCATGCCTTCCACCCTGCCGAACTTCACGTGCATGTCCTCGTTCAACCGCACATCGAAACACTTCTCCAGGCATCTGCTCAGCAACTTGAAGTGCTGCTGCTGACCGTTCTCAACCTGGAGGGACATCACCAAGTGGACGGGTCAACAACAACCTACATACTGTAAACAACACGAGTACATTTCTTACCTGCCAACAACAAAAACAACATGTGAATATCTTACATCAAGTAATAATGAGTTAATGAGTTGTTGAAAAGAAATGAACAGCACAAAGAAGTTCTTTACAGGACATCAAATGATGAATATTGAATATAAGAGAAACACAATCAACATACATCCATCTATCAACTAAGTACCAGCGAAACTTTCAAACTGGTTTTTGGATGTGCTGAGGAAGATCACAAAAATTAGCAAAAGTAAGATTCATAGGTTGAGGAGAAATCTGTTCATAAGACTAAGTTGCTGACAGGAAGGGCGATGACAAGAAAATAAAAACAAATGGTCAAACATTAATTAAGCTTATAATAGAAGAAAAGATGGTTTGCCGGCTAACGACTAGGCATCATAGTTTTACAGCAAAAAGGCAGCCATACAATTTCACACATAACAGACATATTAACGGCATTCATTTGAAAAAATAACAAGAGCAAATTTAACGAATAAACACGGATAAAACAGAGCCACTGACCACATAATAGAGCTTGTGGGCCTGGAACTCCTTGCGTCGATGCTGTGCTGAGGCCAGGTCCCTGCGAAACGTAGCGAGTCACGTTAGACAGGTGCATCGGGGGTCATAATTATGCAAATAAACAGCATCATGCAGAGGAAAATAAAACAACAACTTATTAGCTGGGAGGAATGAAATGAGAGATGAGCGACCTGGTGAGGTAGAGAGAGGAACCATCACTTTTGAGGAGCGGTGCATGCATGTTCTGCTGCCGGTGGTCACCAGCCGTTGAAAGATCCACATAACCCACGCCATCTCTGTGTGTTGTTTCAATATTTTGCATCAATCAATCAATCAATCAATCAATCAATCAATCAATCAATCAATCAATCAATCAATCAATCAATCAATCAATCAATCAATCAATCAATCAATCAATCAATAAATCAATAAATCAATCAATCAATCAACCAATCAATCAAACAATCAATCAATCAATCAATCAACCAAGCCAGTCAACCAAACAATTAACACACCAACCAACCAACACACCAGCCATTTATTAAAATAAAAATTAAATCAGTACAATCAACCAATCATTCAACCAACCAATCCATCCATTCATCCATCACAATATTTTAATTTTCTACATTGGTTTATACATCGGAAAACCACATTAAAAAATGGTTAGTTGAGTGTTAGGAAATGAAATAATTTTTAAATAAGATGGCACTATGATTTTCAAACACGAGACAGAGAAACAGAACGGAGAAGTCCTGTTTGGCCCAAATCAATTACGACGGTTATTATTTTAATAATTTCAAAAGTGGCTAAATTAAAAGCCAACATCAGCCACGCAACGAGTCAGACCTGAATAGAAGGAAGTTTTTACTCTTCAGCTCCTCAATGATGCTGCCACATTCCTTCGAGTACATGGACTCGCAATGTGTCACGTCAAAATTAACGTCCAGTTTCTGTGATGATCATAAACATTTCACTCGTATATCCAGGTCGGTATTGATGATGATAATAACGATGATGATGATGATGGTGATGACAATGATGATGATGATGACAGTGATGATAATGATAATAACGACAATAACAATACAGAACGACGTTTTTTTTAAGGACGCATGGTGCGCTGGAAAATTAAATGCTGATGAAAAAATAGATGGAGAAATGTGATGATGGCAGGGACGACGATGATGATGATGATAGCAAGAATGATGATGATGATAGCGGGGACGATGATGGCAGAGACGATGATGGTGATGATAGCAGGAATGATGATGATGATGGCAGGGAAGATGATGATGATGATGATGATGGCGGCAGGGACAATGATGATGATGATGATGGCAGGGACAATGATGATGATAATGATGACAGGAACCTTGTACATGGATTGGTACTCTGAAAAACTGACATCCCGACACATCCGCCAGAACTTTCTCGCTTCTGCATCACCTGATGTCATCATCATTAAACAAACTAATGAAAATGTGATTGATTGATTGATTGATGGATGCATGCTTCATTTAATGACGGAATGAAAATAATTCCTACCCTCTTCAAGTCTTTTGAAGAAATTCATGGCATCTTGGTGGATGGACGGATCAGTTTGTGATTGCTGGTGTATCCTCACGTACACCTGGTTCGTCAATGAATTTCAACAAGTAACTAACCCAAAGTGCCCACTCAAGGACATTCACGATCGTCAATACTCTGATGACATAAATATCATCGAGTGAAGATAATCATCAGCGATATTCATGCCATATCAAAAGCCAACAACATCAACAACGTCACAATATAAACAATTTCAACAACATCGAAAACATCAACGATAACAATAACAATCAGATTCAAGAAAGCGTTAAAATCTTCCGCAAATATAAAATGGGCTAATACACAAACGAAGAAGCAAACAAACAAACGAATAAACAAACAAACAAACGAACAAACATTAAGAAGATGATGCAATGGTTCTTCGTTGAGGTTCTCCTTGCAGCCAAACCTCTTGAAGCCTTCAGCTATGTACCCTGCATCCATTCATCATCCATACATCACCCTTCCATCCATCATTCATTCATTCATCATCCATTCACCATTCATCCATCCATCATTCATCGATTTCAATTAATTTCAGGTAAAAAAATTCGATGTCCAATTTTTTCAAATAAAAATCAACTCAGTAATTTGCATCTTACATAAAATTTTTTACAATTAAAATGTTAATTACAAGTTAAAATGAGCTTTGAAACAAAGTAAAGTATTGAGTATTGAGGTATTGAGTATTGAGGTGCGAGTGCAGAAAGATTAGCTGTTTCGAATGTTTGGGCTTGAGCTGGTTTCGACGTTCATTTATGGTTGGACCAGATTCAGAGAAAATTCGCTCATTAGGTAGGCACACACAGGCCACTCAACTAACCGTTTTTTGCTTTAAAAAAGTTGACGAAATTTAATTAAAAAAAGTTACCGTGCTAAAAAGTGGCTAAACATTCAAATCAAATTGATGTGCAATTTGATTTCAATCAATGGAACCGTACCTTCGACAATCCTAATAAACATAATGAGCATGCGCTGAATACGTAAGCACAATTTATTTGATGCTTCAGGGATAAACAAATGCTATTTTTATCTTTTCATAAAAAGAAAAGTGAAAAATATCAGTGAAAATGTCACTTAATATTTGTGAAACTTTCATCGGATGATGTTTTATTAATTGTCTCAATAAGATATTGAAGGATACAAATATCCCAACAGAGCTATTTAACAATACAACATCGTAACATTGCTAACAATGATACATCATCCAAACCTAGATATTTAAAGATACATCATCCAAACCTAGATATTTAAAGATACATCATCCCAACATAGATATTTAAAGATACATCATCCCAACATAGATATTTTAATTAAGAGCATCTCGTCTGACCGAACTGAGTGCCCCAGTCCCCGAGGAAGTTGATGGAGGTGACGCGTTGATGGAACCACCTGCTGATGTTGCTCACAAACCGACCAATCACAGTCGACCTCAGGTGGCCAGCGTGGAAGGGTTTTGCAATGTTTGGAGAGCTGTTTGTTCACGTCATGTTTATGACTATTTCTTGGAATAATTTACATCGTATGAGGCAGTGTGGTACTGTATAAAACAACACAACATTGTACAATACAATAGAATAAGGTACTTACATCAAGACACAAAAACAATGCACAGACATTTTGAATTATTTATAAACAAAATTCAATCGACCTGAACTCAACTACAACGTTTTCAATTCTGCCATTTGTTGCACCCTTGTTATCCATGGCTGGAATCTCATCGAGCTCACACCTCCCATAACAATCTTTCTTGTTGCAGATGTCGTGCAGCACTGCCTGCAAGTTGTGCAGTTGTCATATGCATGAGGTCTCACTCATGATGTGAGGGAAACAAATTTTAATGATTCCATTCAATGGTGATGGTGAGCAAATTTTTATCAAAGTGGAAGAAGGATGGTTCTTACTTGAATCAGCTGATCAGAAGGAATGTCAACATGTGAGCTCTCTTTTAAGACCTGAAAGTTTAAAGCACACTTTCAGATCTTATTTAGAATTCTTAGTTGTTAAACTCTAAGCCCAATAATTAAATAATTTTGTAACATTATTCACTGATTCACATGAAATAATTTTTAAACACTTTGTAAAATTAAAAAAATCATCTCCAGAAACAATTTTGTGTTCTATTAGAGATAAATGAGATAATTTAATATGCATGACCATCAGTTGAAATACAATAATTATTAATCCAGTTATCTCTAATAATTTTCGCTACACTGGAACATTTACATCCATCACAAAACATCACTTGACATCCAGCATGCAAAACCAACAGGTAGAATCTTGACACATAAATTTCTGTCTCGTGGAGGTGTGAATGACAACTGACCATGTGCCAACCTGCAATCAACAAAATGAATGGTGGAATGAACTTTACACAAATTAGTACTTTTTAATATTACATGAGAAAAGAACTTGTTCATTTACTTAGTATTCTTAAGTATTGGAGTGAATTTGAAGCAGTTCAATATTTCTGGAGTTAAATAATGTTGTACTTCTTTGTTTTCACATTTTGCATTTGCCAACTGATGAGGGTTGTAAAAAAGCAATTTACCATCATTATATTCAAATTAAAATAAAACCATTAGACAACAAAACCTTTCAAGACTAATTTGTTACAGTTAATTAAGTGCACACAGGACCTAATAATTTAATAAAGCATTAATGAAGAAAAATCACCACACCTTATATCTAAATCTCAAATTAAAGGTTAATCAATTAATGATAAGAAATACTTTAGAATTCATAAAAATTGAATGTAAGTAAATAAAACAACAAAACCCCTACTTAAATGACTTGGTTATGTAAGTAAAAAAAGAATGAAACTTTTGCTAGTCTCACTTAGTTTTAAAAATGCATTATTTCTAGTTATAAAGAGTTTTTTAATAAAATATAGATATACTCATTGCTGCAATGAGTTTTATAAACTGCAATGAGTCATTGCAGTTTATAAAAAACTAATTTTGACCTAAATCACAAAATTGATGAAAATAAAGCACCGAGATACCAGTCTAGTTTACAATGATAAAGCTATAACAATTATTTCTATGAAAATATAAACAAAATTATTTTATCTGTTGAGACTAGCTACACATAATATAATGAATGACAGATTCTAATTCAAAATGTAACTGACATGCAGGGTAATGTTAACACTTCTTAACAGTTAATCAATGTAATAGCAAACTAAAAGGACATCAATATATAAATAATCCCTAATATAAATAATTGATTTATAAGCATAATTTGAATTAAAAATTAATTAAATTTAATTTAAATTAAATATAAAAACAATTAATTAATAAAAGATAAAATATAACAACTAATAAAAAATAAAACCTTGACCAATGTTTTAATTTTCAGTTGTCGGAGCATTGATTTACTTTAAAGAACAACAAGTGGCCACATTGACAAGCAACAGCCGGACAGATCTACCACAAAATACAACAGAAAACAATAGAAAAGATAGGCATGCATACAAATTTGTGCAAATTCAGTAATGGGCTAAATTTACTTTTAGTTTTAAATTAAAACTTAAAAGTAAATTTTGTATAAAATGTTTAGCGCATAATTATTTTAAATGTAATATTATTTTTAAGAAAAAATATTTGGACAAATGGCTCCTTGTCCAAATAAAAAATGAAGCATCACTAAATGTTTAAAACGTGAAAAATAAAATAAAATAGATAAAAGTTCATGAATTCAATTTAACATCAAGTAATATCAAGTTCATTAATTCAGAAGTAACAAAAAATTCCGGACGTGTACTAAGTTTTTTATCGGCATAAAAACGTTAATTTTAAAAGTCCAGAGTTGGTACTGGTACATATGGTTGCATTATTCATTCACGTCAATGTTTAGAGGCGCATTTCAGAGTCTTAACATTTTTGAAATAACAATCATTTAGATATGAGCGTGGCGTTGCTTGACTATGGTAATGGGAGCTCGGGTTCAAAGAGTTAGAATGGGACCCCTGATGTAAAAAATTAAGCGAGTGTATGTAATTTAATTTTTCTAACGGTAAATCGTAAATCATTGTCAAAACCAAAATTTTTACTAATTTTTAGCATGATAGAACATTTAAACATGATAGAACAAAATAGGTTTTTTCAGTGTTTCTCCTACCATCTTCGGTGTTCGAATTGATACGTTGTGTATGTGGCCAAATGCTCAATATATTTGCATTAAACCCTAATATGCATACCAAATAATCACTGCAAAAATTACAGTTTACCCATCCAATGCAATCAAATTTTATTCAAATCAATTCATCTAATGAAGTTTTAAAACAATAAACTTGTTTCTATATGCACATAATGAATTATAAAAATAAAATGCAATCAAAAATAAAAATAATGTGGTTTTTAAACAGGGCTGTTAAAAACTTAGGTTTTTATACAAAAATTTTTAACTTAAAAAAATTATGTTTTTCAAGTTTTTCAAGATTTCATATTTTAACAAAGAAAATAAAATGTCATTATTTTATTTCTATTTTCGACAGAATCACTTTTGCCCCCATTTTGTTTTGCGTACTTATTGCAGTGCTCTTTCCGCGCTTTTTTTTGCGGCGTCTTTTTTGCCGTGATACCATTCTGCTGTAAAATGTTGTAGAAGTACATTGGAGTGTATTATTACGGTAAATAAGATCCTTGACGACCATGAAATTATCTTTGGTTACACAGTGCAACCAAAACAAAACAAAAAACAACGAATAATAATAACAGGGATAAACAGATTTGAATTAACAAATCAATTTCTAGATTATCTACATTGTGTAATTAAAAAGTTTGTTGTTAATAAATTGAAATTATTGACGTTGCAGGGTAATGACAAGAATCAACATGTAAATGAGAAATTCAATTAGTTTGTGCTTCTTCACTTCCTTCGTGTTGGCAACGACTGTGTTGTTTGGTGCGGAACCAACGAGCAACACAAGCGGTTGGTTTGATTGACTGGCTTTTAATCTATTATTTGATATTGTTGATATTATATGATTTCAAATATTGTTCAAGCTGATGATTTAGTACGCAATTTGACATCGGAAAGACCGTTACTTACTAATTCACAGAAACCAAATGAAAGCTCAACAGCAACAATTGCAAAAACTTTCCCAACTAAAAAAAAGCATTCGAAAAAGAGATTATTGTTAGCATTTTATATAATAACAGGAATCAGTCTGTTGGTATTCCCTATAATGTTCTGTTATTGGAAAACTATAAAAACGGGTAAAATGATTTTTAAGAAAATTTTTCTTCTGATTCTGAAACACAAAAATATACATTCTGCAGTGGATGTAGATCAGGCAATGAGCGCTACTCCGACTTCAAATAATTATGGCAACATCAACAACAACAGCAAACATTTAAAAATACTGCAAAGCAAACTGGAACAAAAACGGATTTCTTCAAAAATGTTGCATGAAAAATAATAATAAAAGATTCAGATCAGATCATTCAGACCAGTTACAAAAAAAGATTTTGAATTATTTAAACGAGTTCTGTACACAACTAATTCTTATATCACTTTGTCTTTGTTACAGATTGTAAAATTAATTCAGAATTAAATAGTTAGTTCCAACGACAAATTTTTTTTTAAATTTTTCTGAAATAATTGTCAAAAAATATCAAAATTAGTAATATTAAAAAATAAAATTAGCTTATATATTTTCAAATTACATATCGCTTATTAAACAAACCACCATTTTTTGGTGTTTAATGCCTTTGTCAACATTCGACATCTAAAACGTAATATAAATCACTATTTCAAGTAACTCATCGAACCTTCCGAGCTCAGTGCTACTCAATAGTTGGCGTCCAATGGTGGGCTTACCAATCAATTTGCTTGCAGTGACCTGATTTTTTGCAGAGAGCTCCGCCTATCATAATAATAATATTGTTATTATTAGTAGTAGTGGTAGTAGCAATAGTATTCATAGCAATATTCTCTTCTCATTATTTCTTAGAAGATGCATAAGCATGAAACAAATACTGTAGGAGCTGGTGCCACAGAGCTCCATCCATCCACCATTGACCAAATTTAGTCCTAGCAGGCATCAGCGTCATTTGGTTTGCGGCTGATCTGAGACTGGATCTCTATGATGTTCCTCCCACCAGCTTACATACATTATTAAAATAACCCGGAACCATATCATTTGTACATTTATAGGCCAACACTGCAATCTTGTAAATAATTCGTTTTTCTACCGGCAAGTAATGAAATTATCAACGGCAGTACGATATACCTTCCCATATGTCAATACCAGCAACCCATCTGGTGGCCACAGTCTATTCAGAGTCCTAAAAATTATAACACACTGCAAACTGTTGGAAAAGTTTGGTGTTGTCAACAAAAATGCTGCAACCAACAACAGAAACGTTCTTATTAAATATAAATTTTTTTATGCTTTAGCTTTTTTTATCTGATGGTAACTTCCATGCACAAACTAAACGTTGCAATTTTGAACATTCATTAATTTATATTAAAGGTTTCAACTTTTTTATGCTTAATTCTCAGAGATATCAACAACACATAACTCATGAGAATACGCGTATTCAAGCTGGGATAAGCGGTGATCTCTGCATTCGAACCCAGCCGCTGCAAAACCAGGACCAAACGCTTCAAACATACACCTTGCCACCATTCCCCAAATACACACTGCAATATATACGTAGTGGACTCTCTAGAGCCTGGATGTGACACACAGCATTATTTAGAAGGCTCACATCCGTTTAACATTAATTTTTGGGAACAGTTATTTTACCATGCAGCTCAAGCTCTCAGCCTGATAAACAGAACTTCGATTTGTATTTCTATTATTTCAAAAATTCACAATTTAAAAACTTGCCTATATTTGAGGTTTCAATTTTATATTTACTGCGTGCAATTCACGCATGAGAGAACGAAAAAAGTTTTACGCTTGTAAAAATATGAATCTGTAATGGAATGTCTCTCAAATATATTTCAACCAAAAACATTTTATAAGAACAAAATTTAAACCACAATTAAACAACAAATATATGGAAAAATTAAACACTCGATCTGAACTAACCAAATTATTACCAAATAAATCACGATTAATCAGAAAAAACTAATTAAGAAGAAACATTAAAAAACATCAAAAAATGTAAATTAAAAAATATATTAACAGTGATTATTAAAGTCAATAAACATGATAAAGAAACCAACGGTGTGTAAGAGTGGTGTGTATGTGTGGTGTGTGTGTGTGGTGCGTGTGTGGTGTGTTTGTGGTGGATATCTTTGTAGTGTGCATTTTACGGTGTGTATGTTTGCGGTGTGTTTGCGTATGTATGTGTGTAATGTATATCCTTGTGGTGTGTATCGGTGCTCTGGCATCTAGCACTTGTTGGTGTTGGATGTTAATGCTGGGTGGTAACACGTCAACTGAGGCACTGCCAAACGAGGATGCTGAAAATATTTTGAAAGGTGAATTTAAAGTTGAATATACCAATTTATTTTACCAAAACATCATCATTATATTATGCATATTACGAAACAATGACAAGTTAAACCAATTTGTTGTTCTCTAATTTGAAATCACCATAAAAAGTCATAAATAAATGTAAAACTTAATTCTTTTTCCTATTAGCGACTACGAAAATCTCTTTTATTTAACAGTAGGCGCTTTATAAAACTTTTGAGATTATAATTATAACCATCATCTTCCTACCACTTCTCCTTCTCATCGTCATCCTCATCATCATCATCCTCATCATCGTCATCATCATCTCGGCCACTAACGATGAATCATCCCCTCCAATGGACATAACGTGACTTTGATCACCAGTGAACAAAATGTTCGTAACGTGAGCTGAGTGTCCGACGTAATATTGAAATGGCACCTGGGTTTAAATCATTCATTCATTCATTCATTCATTTATTCATTCATTCATTCTACCCATTCAGCCAATTAATTCATTCAAACAATAAATTTTGTAGCTCCAGATAATTGACTAAAATTTCAAACGCAGTCAAACCTCCAATCCAGTTTGAACAATTCAATCAATCAAATAATTTTCAGCTTGCAAAAGAATGCGTCTTGAAGCTTGCAGGAAAATCGCAGCACGAATAAAAAAACGAACATTTTTGGGGTTGGCGGGAAATTTGAGCAACTTGACGAGGCCGTAGTCGTCTCCAGTGACAACATTCTTGTGGGATGAAGAGACGTGGCAGCAGTTGACGTGGTGCCTCGATGATGCATTCCTTGGCCACGCACCCACCATTTCAGAACCACTGACGCTGTTTCAATGATGAATACCAAAACTTTGTTCATCACTTAAAACAAACAGTATCACTCAATTTTTGACGTTTTTTTAAAGTTCATTATCAGATGAGAAAGTAGTCAATAAATGCATTCTGCAATATAACACCTGCTGAAAAATGTAAATAATAATTTACAAAATCCAAATGAACTTGATGAAAATATTCTAACGCACGCCAAACCTTTCTACAAAATTGGTGATAATAATGAACTGAAAAGACAAAGAAGCTACCTAGTGATGTTTGTGAAGAAGATTTTTGCGACGAGACTAGCATCCAGGACTTCAGTTAATGTTGGCACTTGAAAATATCGGTTGGTGTAGGCGTCCGTCCCAACCTAAGGTTCAAAATTTCATCATTCATTTGAATGGTTAACCTACACAACTGACTGAATGTGTTAATAGTTTACAAGCATTATTTTTTATTCGTAAATATTCCAGTTGTTCCACATCCATGGTGATGGCGGTGGTTATTCAGAGTTGGTGGTGATGGTTATTCAGTATCGATGTTGGATCAATACCGGTATGAAGCGACGGTTTCCGGCAAATATTTCATGTCATGTTACTAAACCTCCTTTCATTTTTATAGAGATAAACTTCAGATGAGTACATCAGGAAGATTTTATTGGAGGAAAGAGCATTGAAATACGCAAGTGAATTGCACTGGTATCACCGGATTTTTGAACCTATCCAATCAACAAAAGCTTTATTGAATCATTGACAATTCGGTAAGCCGTGAGTGCAAATTGCAAGATGCTGTTTGTTATTTTTATGAGATTAGTGAAAATTTACTTCAAATTTTAATTATTATTATTCAGTAAGATAAATTGAAGTGAATGTGATTAAATAGCCAACAAACATTTAAATTACAAAATATGGGAAAGAAAAATCACATACTTTAATAAACTGACAGTCATCAGAGAAGTCTAGAGATATGCCAGTTGACCGGTCGAAATTGAAGGTGCTCAGTCGTTTCAGGAGGAGGTCAGGTTGTGAGTTGTTGGTGTCCCTCGACGAACGGGTCAAACTGGCGATGCTGTCGACACCTGCGTTCACTTCATACATGTCCATGAAGGAGTCCTCACTCAATGTCACCACGTATCCATCGTTCGGACTGAATCTTCAGCGAAATCAAATCATTTTTTTTAATTCGCCATAGTAACTGTTAGAATAGTTGCCAAATATTTTGTAACAGTTTTAAAATCTGTCTTAAACTTCTGGCAAAAAAATAGTTGACAGACAATAATAAACATCATAAAAAATCATAAACAGTTGATAGCGTCAATAAGTTATCTAAACCAATAAAATATTTTTTTAGCTCCATGCTTGCATCAAACTAAATCGGGTTGAAGCAAAGCAGATGAAGAAGCACATGAACCAACCTGATGACGTTGATGACGGATCCTCGGAACCTTTTCTCGAACACCACATCGTACTTGGAGGTTTCAAAAATTTTTATGGTTCCATTTTTCAAGCCCGCCGCTAAAAGTGAACCTGAGTTTTTAATTATAGTCTTCAGTGGTTAGTGACAATTGTCAGCTTTGGTGGATGATTGGAATAATTACCTGCATCGCATTCAACAAATTCACTCAAACGACCACTCCAGACCAACCAATCAAAAGACCACTCCAGACATCAAGCAACCAATCAAACGACCACTCCAGACATCGTTTCCTTCGCCAATTTTACTGCGTCACCGATATATTGGTTAAGATCGTCTTAATTATTTTAACGCCATTGCTATCATCATTATCATCACCATCACCAAACGCCATCATCAACAACAAATGAACTTGATTTAATCATGAGTAATATTAGGAACCTGTTGAACTGAAGTGGATAGTTCTGCATGGTCCTATCGAAACACTTTTTAAAGCAAGCTGCAAAGTTTTTCAAAGTCAGTTCTTATATCGTAATAAACATTCACAAGTTTTAAGCAAAACATTAATAATCACATTAGTGTTAGGAAACATGCCTGCCCAGCAAAATTCAAGAAACCAAAGAACCTTGATCCAAAAAAATAACAATGCATTTCACCAAATAACCATGCACCTAATACTGACCGACTTGTGGATATCCCATATTTTCAACATGCCGTCATCGCCTGTCGTTGCAAAGGTTTTGTTGTTGCGGTGGTTAGTTAGACCCCACAGTTCGCCATCACCATGGTAACTTGCCACCAATGTTACTTCTGCAGTTTTTTCGTTCACCTCAAAGATGTTGCTATCCTTGGTGCCAACTAGAATCTTGCCCTGGTTTCAAGTGTTGTTACAGCTCAGTCTGTGAACATTTGTTTTTTATTGTGCAGCTCTGACGAGTGCAAAACTGTTAACAAATTGTTCCTTGCTTTATTTGATCTGAATTAAACTTTTTTACTACTACAGAACATGTGCATCCCCTTCATATGGTTTAACAGACGTTGTAGGAACAAAAAAAGTATCATGATAACGAAGAGATTTGCGTAGGCAACATTTAAATTATATCTGCAATCAGTACTATAACAAGTCGCTCTGCTGTCGGAGCTGACTGGAAAATTCTCAAATGACGTTGACGGTCATTAAATTTGATTGTCATTTTGTGGTGAATGCCCAGAAGATGTGGGAAGAAATTCATTCGCATCATATCATCATTGTAGTTGTTGAATAATTGTCATTATCAATATCATCATTCCACCTTGATAGTACTGTGCAATCGCAACCAGCTTCATCAACATCGCCAGCATCAGCCTCATTTGTACATGTCAATTGATAAACAACAACGAAAACTCAAAACCAAATGACCTTGACCCTGGACAGAGACTTGACACAGAGAACACCATTGTTGTTGTTGTCCCAAAGACTTGGAATACTGTATGACTTGCATTTGCTCATTTCCTGGTCCCACAACTTGACAGCTGCGTGATCTTTTGATCTGACATTTTACATATGAAATGAAAAATAAAATCACCCAAACATATCATGCATGGTGGATACAGCTACTAACTCATTTCTCTCCTTGCATCCAGTAACAATGAGTCCATCAAAAAGTGAGGTGAACATGCTGAAGATGGGCCCCCTTCCGATCATTTGCACCACCCTCACTAACTCAACATCTCTCCATACGTACACGTCACCAGTTACGCTTCCGGAATATGTTGTGTTGTTCTGCAAATCACAAAAACGATAAAAAGGGTGATGACAGTGATGACGATCATCATCATTTTTCCAATTTATGGGACAAAAGGGCCAAGCGTTGATTTAATCGGAAAGTGAAATTTAAGACAAAATATTTAAATAACACTTTGCTCCTTTAAAAAACAAAATAAATCATCAAACATGCAACTTACCATTCCAAATGCAAGCGACAGGAAAGTGACTTTCCTATAAACCCTGTTGCCTAGTGACTTCGCCACTCCTCTCTTCTGTACGAGAGCTCCACCGACCTGATCCCAGAAAGAAATGTGTCTGACACCAACACTGACGAAGTGGTTGTCTGAATCAGGTCTGTATTCGCAGTGGAAAATGCGATGTGGGTGGCCCGGAGATGAGGCCAGGCTGGTTCCTGCGGTTGGTGTTTGGTGGTACGTTGTTGTCGGTGGATATATGCGGTGTAATATGAAAGTAGCTGGTCTTGTTGGATCAGTGCAAAAATAAAGGATGAATGCTTATGAATGACTGAATTGAAAAAAAAATGAAAATTATTATTATTATTATGTTATGCACTCTACTGACATTCTTCAGAGGATATAACTGTGACTAAATGCTTTGTTGAACAAATAGCTTTTTAACTCTTTTCTGAAATCTTTTTCTGGAACAATTTCCTTCAATCTTGTTGGAAGATCATTCCATACCTTGGGCAGAGCAACCTGCATACATCCGTCACGCAGTTTTGTCCTGGTCCTAGAAACTACTGTTAGTACGAACTTATGCTACTAACAAGACACCTTGTTTTGAGTTAAAATAAATAAAACAAACACAATTCAGACGTAATAAAATATTATCTTTATTCCCACGTGAATCTCGAACCGTTTCGTTTACAAGCTATCAGGAAAAAAGGGAGAAATCGAGAGAGAAGCAGACATAAAAATTAACATAGATTAGGTAACATTGAAAATTGCAATAATCTTTAAAAATAATTAATACATAAGATAGTTAATAAATGAATGTTTGATCCCTACAATACTCCCCCACAAAAGGCGGAGCCGTTTAAAAATAAAAATATTCATTTCGTTTGTTGAATGTTATTCGCCTCCCTTTTCTGGAGTGTTGGGTTGTTGGTTCCGATTTGGTTGACGTCGGTCTTGTTTCTTGTGTTGTTGTTGCGTCTGAAGTTGTTGTTGCTGTTTCTGGTGTTTCAGTAGATTTTGTGTCTGATGTTGCTGGTTTTGTTGAATTTGTTGTAGAAAGTTTGTTGTTTGTTGTCGAACTATTTTTGTTGTTTATTCTGGTTTTGGCTGTTAGAGGTAATGATAAACAAGCTGGCTTTAATAGATCAATTGACACATTTTGAAAATTTCCTGGTAACAATTCAATTTTAAATATTTATCGTTACGTTCAATCACTTTGAAAGGGCCTGTATATGGTGCTTCCAGTGGACGACGTACTTGATCTACTCTTAACCATACGTGACTACTGTCTGAAAGGTCATTTGGTACGTAAGCTTTTGGGGTAGAGTGATGTTGATTGTTAGTTGTTGGGTAGTCATTAAGTTTAAACATTTCTTTTGCTAGCTTTTTGATTTGACTAGATGTTATATCTTCATTTGAATCTGGGAATAAAAATCGACTTGATAATAATAAGTTGGTTCCTGTTACTGCTATTGCTGGAAATATTTCATTTTCACAATATTCCCTCGCAAGAGGCGGAGCCATTCAAATGGAAAAATGTTTGTTTTTTGAGTTGAATTTAATTTTTCCACTCTTCTTTGAAAATGTGGTTGTTGGTACTGATATCGCTGGCGTTTAACTTGTTTCTCGTAATGATGTTGCCTTTGTCGCTGATAATTTGGTTGATATTTATCTTGTTTCATGAGATGTTGATGATGGCGTTGTTGCTGAAAATGCAGTTGCCGTTTTTGTTGCTGGTTTAAATTTTGCTCTGGTTTTGTTTGTTTGAACGTTGATAATAAATCTGCTTTTAGAGCGTCGTAATCTGTTCCTCTTTGCACTTTTAACGACAAATTTTTCGTTTCGTTTACAAGCTATCAGGAAAAAAGGGAGAAATCGAGAGAGAAGCAAAGACATAAAAATTAACATAAATTATGTAACATTGAAAATTGCAATAATCTTTAAAAATAATTAATACATAAGATAGTTAATAAATGAATGTTTGATCCCTACACTACCGTCATTTTTTACGAAACCGAACGCAATGCATGTCGCACATCAACTTTAGTTTTTTTGCAAAAAACCTCCTTCAGATATTCTGGGCCACCACCATGTACGCAACTATGAGCCACCACGGCCATCTTAAATCCTATCCGTTCCCAGATCGGTAGCCAGTGAAGACTTTCTAATCACTTTGTAATGTGATAACTCTACTTAGACCAATGACCAATCTGGCGGCTGCATTCTGGATTCGATGAACTTTATTTACTACCCCTACACCAGCACCACACTGCAACGAATCGCAATAGTCTAATCTAGATAGTACAAAAGTCATCACCAGGCTAGTAAAAAATAAATTTACATTGATAACAAATTTTCAATTTACATAGCGCTCAACGTGAAGCTTCAAAAACATTGAATTCAAGCCCAAAAGCGTATAAAAAGCTGGAATCTTGTTCCATTCAACGACACCACTAAGCCATCTCACCGCCTAGTAAAAAAGATGTTGATATTAAAAGTGGGACGGATCCAAAAAATCGAGATTCATGCTATCCGGATCAACACCCGAAACTAACTCATGAATTCATAATGATCCGAATCTGGATCCAAGTGAATTCGTGATCATAATTAAATATTCTTCAAACCAAACTTTGAACACTGAGAACAATTAACAATTTGATGCTTTATTTTTAAACCCACGCCGTTTTATCACATACTTAGAAAAGAGAGATGCTTGATTTGGCTGCAAATACTAACTTAAATTGAAAAAGTTAACACGTGATTCAAAACAGTTAAATAAATTTTTTCCAGTTAGTAACTAAAAATATTCAATTAAATTATTTTTGTAAACTTATTCAAGGTTTTACTGAATCTATGGCGTTGTATTTTGTGAATCCAAAACTCTTCGGATTTCGGGGCTTCGACCCCAATCCGAATATCCAGATTCGGAGACACCGCATTCCTAGTTAATATAAATATAGAAGTCAAACTATAGCGCTCGGATTGTCGCACTTGTATGACAGGCTGCGACCACGGTAATTAATGATAGCAGTCATTTGATAATAAATAAATCACAATCTAACCCACTTTAGTTATAAAAACATCCAACTAAAGTTATTACAATTTTCATTATCATAGAATCCAGCAACCAGCAAAAACAGCCAAGAGATGAAAAAACCAAAAAAATCTCACCTTCAACCCAGTTGTATACGACGATAGTGTGTTCCTCATCCAACCCCACGGCCACCAGCAATTTCCCCCCGCATGAAAAGTCTACACTGACCACTCCCCCTTTCAACACGCCACTCAACACCGAATTTGTTGACATGGTTTTGCTATGCCATACGTGGATGGTAGGTCGTTGACCGATATCACCCGTTGCAACGATGCCTTTGTAACGAGGATTCTGATTGGTTGCCAAGCTTATGATGTCATCAGAATGACCAAGATAGAATCGTTGACAACCTGAACACAGAAATGAGTAAAATTTATTACAAAATTTTAAATTAGAATTATGAGAATTTTTTCTGATTTGTACATTCTCATTAAAACCACAAGCAATGGAAATGCGAAAAACGGGAAAGCGACAAATGAGCACTTTAATACAGCAATAACATTAACAGCAGCAGCAACAACAACAAACAACAACGGTGACAATAACAACTGGGACAACAGAGACGACAACAACTGACCAGTTGCCACATCAACGACAACGACAGTAGCGGCCGTGTGGTAAACAATCTCAGCACCGGCATGATCCAAATAATGCAGATTGTTGCGTGTGTCCATTCCCCTGTAGCCATACACCAACTTCAATTGAAGGCCCTTTTGTTGTGTTTTGTTGTGGCGAGAAGAGAAAATGTAGTAAGTGTGATGGCGTGAGAGAAGTAATGGCTTGTGAAATGTGGTGCGTGTGGTGGGTGTGTTTTGGTGTGTGCTTGCGTGGTAGGTAGAAAAATGAGGTAAGTAAATTATTTGAACATGCATATGTTGATAAAACTGACGAATCATTTAAATAAAATTTAAATAAAAATCTACTTTTATTTCATTGCTGTCAATTTTGAGATCGTTTTTTTCAGGGGTTGAAAAGTTTTTGTTTTCAATTCGTCGACTGAATAAAAACTTGACACTGCAGTAAAGTCAACAAGAAAGTCGAAATAAACATCTTAAACAAAACTAAACATGAAAGTAATAATAAAAGTAATGAGAAAAAGGGTTACAAAGATATTTGCAAAACAACGTTCATAATAATAATGATTTTCATGATCATTAGATAATAATAATTAATGTTTTCTTCAAGAAATAATAGCAAAGGCAACAACAAGAACGACAACAGACACTACCTACCTATCGACAACTGTGTTTTCCTTATTAAGTGCAATTCCTCCTCCGTTATCACCACCACCACCTCCATCATTCTCGCCGCTACCAACATTTGAAGCCACCTGCTTGTCTCTCAGCGGATCGATATTGAACTTGGGCACATAATCGATCTTGGCCTCCCGCTCGACATCACTATCATAACCACCTGGAATATTATCCTCACCCTCATCACTGCCATCACTGTTGGAATCTTCACTTTGGATGGCCTGGTGATGACGATTGCGTGACGGTGATGACGATACATTAGATCGCAGGTCTTCATTCAAGGACGACCTGTGTTGGTGTTGTTATCTTTGATGATGCCACATAGAATATGATGGGAATCTCTGCCTATATGCATGCATGTAAGGTTAACATGGTGGTTGCCTTTTAGAAATCGATCGAGATAATTGAGATATTAGATTGAAAACACCAGCGTACATTAACGGCGCCAACAAATGAATCGGTTTAAATGGTCATAGCGAAAGCACAGAGCAAAAAAAAAATTAGTACATCAGATCATTTATCTTCAGCAGTCTATTTGAAATGTTACTTTATATAAGATCAACCTACAACGAGGTCTGTAATGAATAAATGAAAGGAATGTTCAGAACGATATGAAACAGCATGATTTCATCTCAGGTCAGATGAGCATTTACTCGTGTAACTGACTTGAAGGACATTTGAATTGCCCGCTAATCAATATTTTGTTAATTTAATGTCTTTTTATTTTTTTGCACTGTACATTTATGATCTTAATATTTGTATTATATCTAAATTTTGTATTTTTAGCATAGAATTATTATTATTAGCATTTATACAGCGCTTTTTAAATGAACTTCTCATAAGCGCTTCACAAAATTTAATAACTTGATGAAAATTCAGTAATGAAGTCGACGGTTGGTCTTTGCTAGTTTTCACGTTGGTATTATTTTTTACGGAGAAAGGATAAAAGGAAAACGGTCTCGAGTTTAATTTGAAAATGATCGATAATCAATCAATCAATCAACCAACCAACCAATCGATCGATCAATCAATTAGTTTATAAAGCGCTATTTCCGCGCTGTTCAACAGCGCTCCTCAGTGAATTTTGCAAACAGATGGGTCTTGAGATCCTCTCTGAACTTCGTAAGTGATGGAAAAGTAGTCAGAGAAGGAGGTAGAGAGTTCCAAAAAAGGGCCAAAAAAGAATGCAGATTTAGCAAAAGAGTGTTTAACATGAGTTAAAAAGAAGTGAGAACAAGAAGATGATCGTAACCGGGGTGTTTAGGTCCAATAAATATATGTGATAAGTACTTAAGAAATAATTTAGATTGAGACTTAAACATTAATATGCAAAATTTAAAAAAGATTCTATATTTTATAGGTCACCTGTGCAAAAGAACAAGATATGGAGATATATGAGAAAAAGAAAGGGGCATGAGCAACTAGACGAGCAACAGAGTTAAAAGCTTTACTTAAGGGATAGAGTGTAGAATCAGGAAGACCATAGTATAGCGAGTTACATTAATCAATCCTAGATAAGACTAACGAAGTAACAAGAGGAAGAAAAGTAAGATCGTCAAGAAAATGCAAAAGATTTTTTATTCTACGTAAATGAAAATAAAAACATCTAGCAACACTATTAATCTGAGAAGAAAGAAACATGCTAGAATCAAAGATAAAACCTAGACTACGAAACTCATGAGAAACATCAAGAGTTTTAGAATCAGGTAAGATAATAGAAGAATTAGCAAAAGAGCGTTTAGTTTTATTAAAACAAATAAATTCAAATTAAGAAGGATTAAATTTAAGACACATAGAGTCAGACCAAGCGATAATTGAAGAAAAACATAGAGATAGATTATGAAGAACACTATTGAGATTAGATGGAGATGGAGGAAAAGACGTATAAATATAAGAATGACTCGTGAAAGTTGACTAGTGAAAGAATAATTATTAATAATACGAGGTAGTTCAGAAGTATTGAAGATAAATAGAAGAGAGCCAAGGATAGAACCTGAGGTACTCCAAAAGTAAGAGTAGAGGAGTTAGAAGTAGAACAATGCGTATGCTTGTGCGCGTGTGCGAGTGCGTGCATGTATGTGCGATCAAATGATGCAGAAAATAAATTGTAAATGGCAATTAAATATTTGCCCGTGCGTGTACCCTGTCCCAAGTTGTCATTGCGAGATGACCAGGTTTAAAAGCTAGACAGCCAGACAGCAAAACAAAAAGCAGGTTCTGAGTATGACGCATTGCTTGCGTAAACAAACGTGCATGTACGTCGTTGTGTAGTGTGAATATTAGGCTCTTGTTTTCAATGCATTTATGTAAAAAAAACAATTTTTAAGCAAATAAAAAAATTAAACATTAGAACGTTTCACATTTATTTTTAAGACAATTACCTGAACAAACAGAATTAACAAGTCCAACGCACCTGACCTTTGCACTCCGACCTGGCTCATTAGTCACTCCATTCATTGACCTGTTTTCGCGACCTGCAACCGGTTCAAGTTGAACCTGTTCTGGTCCTCCGATCAGCTTCCAGATTAATATTGAGGCATCATCACCACCAATGGAAATGAGCGTGCGACCATCACACATCCATCTGACGTTGGTCACGTGAGCGCTGTGGCCCATGTACCTCTTGTGCTTGTTATTCTTTAGCTGCCATGCAGTAGAGTTGACAAATTTATTAGTCATCAAATTAACATCCACTGCTTGCCTGCTCTTTATTTGTTTTACTATAACAAGACATGAGTTAATACACAAAAAATAAAAACTACTACAGAAGAACAAAAACAAATTAAAAAAACTTTTTAAGTGTTTTTTAATTGCACTAAAAAAAATAAAATAAGTTTTTAATTTGAGAAACGAAATAGCATTTACTTTGTAAACATTTTTAGAAAATATTGATTAGTTAGTAAACAACGTGGTACGTGACGCTGTGCTACTGTGTGGTTACTCCTTTACTCAAACAGAATCTCACATTTTAAAAAATATTATCAAATACATTTTTTACAAAGTAAATGTTATTTGATCGATTATATTTTAAATTTATTTAATTTATTCTTTTTCTCTCAAGTTCAATAAAATAAAAAGTTTTTTCATTTGTTTTTGAAGAACGGACAAAGCCGAAAGTAAGTCAATGAAAAAAAAAAGTAAGTCAAGAATCATTGCTCACAGATTACTAACTTATTTAATTAAATTGATTAAATAGAACGCACTAAATCAGCAAATACAAGATTAGCAACAAATTAGCAAACAACCTTTGCTGGGAAATTGAACAACTTGACGAGTCCCAAATCGTCACCAGTCACCAAATATCGCTTGTCCCTAGTCAAACTGGAACTGTTTACATCGGTGACGTCACTATAAGGCGACCAAATTCCGGCACACATGGGCCCCAACACCCCGGTGAACGTCGACCAAACAAAGTTCTCAATGTCTGTCAGGGTTGGAGTGATTCTGTTTCCTCGGGGGGCTTGGTAGAAGAGGTGCTCCCTAGCTCCCGTGTTCACTTGAAGTACACTTCCTATCAAAATCATCATGTACTATATTTATAAAATTTCATTAATTGTTAACCTAAAGTATTATTAGTGGCATTAACAGAGAAGACAATAATAAACAAAAACGACAAAGATAATTTTAATGAAAAAGTATGATGCAATTTCAAATGTCAGGCATGTGATTCAACGAGGCAAAACACTTAAATGAAAAAAAACTGCAAAATTGTAAAGCAGCATTCAGCCAGCTAACCGTCATCATTCCAATCCAAATGTGTTACGTAACTGGATGCACCTTTGCACACACCCACCAGTTGACACGTCGACGCATTGTAGATGTCAACAAAGTTGTCGTGGGAGGCTACTGCTAAGTAAGCACCAGGGTCTGTTCGTGTATACATACAAACAACCGTCGTGTCAGCTTAGTAATGCAATGAAATAAATCCATCGCGGGTAATGAAAACCATAATATATAGACTAAATATATAGGTCTACGCATTATAAAATGCATTTCCAAGAGTTGTGATGGGTAATTAGCGCGTTTGTATAGAAAAAATTTTCCGATACTAGCTATCGGAAAATTGTGCATAATATAATTGCATGCATAATAAATTTATTAAGGAATTATTTCGAAGTATTGCGCCTTATTCAAGTTACATAAATATAGATATACTAAAAGCTAATTTAGCAATATAAAGTAAAACAGAGACAAATATTACTATTTTTTTTTAGTTTTTTCGAGTTTTTGCCACGTTTTTGGATTAATTTTTGCTGCAACATTCGTAAAAAGGTTCGAGAACTTCTTTTGAATTCCTTTTTCTACTTCACAATTGTCCGTTTTGTAAAAATTTAATAATTTTAAAACTTGAATTTCCCACAATTTTCAATTAGAATTTTAACTTTAGCCTTTAATATAGGTGTTATCGTAACCAGTATTGTATTGTATTGTATTGTATACGTACACCTGTAGTACTTTTTAAAGCCAGTTCTTGGTATAGCCATCTATAGATATATACAAATGTGATAAAACCGTTCAGGATTTTAAAATAAAATATGTATACAAATGATATATAAAAAATACTCAAAGGTACGATATGTAGGATGAAACGATTTAAATATATGTACAAATTAAAAGTCCAAAAGACAGTGCTAAATATATTTAAATTTAAAATATTAAATATTACATATATTTACAAATGTTATAAAAAAAAATCCAGTAATAAAAATACGCAGGAAAGTGAAAATAAATTACATAATAAAAAAATTGTGATAAAACAGTTCTTTAACGAAATTAACGTACAACGAATGACAAATAAACACTTACACATTCAGCTCCCACATTTGACCACCTTTATTGCAATTTCACTCTAAACCTTCAATATATCCAACTATTTTTAAAACACCGACATTTCCTTTACACCATCGACACGCACGACAACATCGGCACAACATCATCCACGCAAGCACATGTTGAACCTGGTGAGAACTTCATATCGGATATGTTCTGTTTTCGTTTGTGGACTTTCATTTTTTCGGTTAACGTCGTCGAGTTGAAGATTACAAAACTACCTACCGCGTGTTAAGGTTGTTAAGATGCTATCAATTTATCCGATGCTGATTACAAATTTATCGCCATAGTTAACATCACTCATTGACCATTCATTGACCATAACGTTAAAAATCTATCAGCGATAGGGTTGATAAAGTTCACCAAACCGAATATATTTTACGATGAAATACATTAATTCACCGCAATACAAACCAACATTTATTTGTCTACTCATTCCATTCACAACCAATCATTCACTTGTCATTGCGATTCACCATTTACTGGAACAGAACACTCAGACGCGTAAAAACACGAATTCACACTTGAACATACACACAGGCACACAAACACACACGTAAACACACACACGTACACACACACACACACGTACACACACAAACCATCGGTCATGCCAGCAACAAGCAGCCCTCCATCGCTGGAGAATGCAATACATCTCGATGGTCGATCCAAGTACTTCATCAGCGCCAGCGTCGGCCCACTGGCACCTGATGTTCGGACATACACGCCAGTTTTTATGGACCATGTAAAATGTTGTTGGATAAATTACTTTAAAATATGTAGTCTTTACATACAGATCATGAAATATAGTAACTTAAAAATGATGATATAAGTGAAAATGATGACAAGTAGGAAGAAGGCGATGCCGAGTACATTACGCCGTGGTTATGAAAACAATAAATTCGTCATTATGAAATTGGTGACGAAGATGGCGATGATGTGTTAGGTTAATGAGAATGAAAGTGAAATAAAAAAATTTCTGACAAAAATGTTATTGAAAATAAGGACAAAATGATTAAAAAATGACCAATCAGATGTTACATAGTTATATTGACGATTATTAACGATGACCATCGAGACCAACCCACCAACACTCCAGAGTCTCAGTGTGCAGTCGTCACTAACAGTAGCAAAGTACATCTTGTTTGGGTGGGTAGCCAGCCCCCACATTTCTCCCTCACCATGTCCCTGGGTGACGGTGTTGGTCATATTGTGGATCGACGATATAGAAATTAATTATGCAACGTTGTTAAGTTGAGTGACCTAAGGTTTGGTTTTTAAAACATCAATGATAACAATATGATTGATACCAAGTAAAATACTCTGAGATTAAATTCGTCATCAACATTGGAGAGACAAAAACGTATTTAATTCTAGTTACGGCTTGAAATTCACAACAATCGCAAAGCACGTCCTCATTAATAAACATGATTGTAATTTCATGTTATAAAAACAAAAACCATCGGCGAGAGTTGTGATTTGTACTACATAACCTGAAATACCAGATAACTTATATAGCGATATCGTACAATGACTTACGTTACCATGAAGCACACAAATATACACATCTAAAACATACATCTTATCGCATATATGAATTATAGCCACATAACAGTGATCAAACCTGTTCGATAATATGAATCTGGTTACTGCTGATGTTGAGCTCAACAACTTCAGACTCTTTGGTACCTACTAACAACAAGCTTCCATTTCCACCAATCACCGCTGATTTGATGCATCTCGTATTTGACTGGACGCTGGTTCGATTGGACGATGACGCCAAATTGTGTTTGTTATGGTTGCCGTTGAATGTGGAAGAATCGATGACGACCACGTGATGCCTGTCCACGAACTGATTGGTCCACGTAATCACTGTGCCGTCTTTGCCACCAGTCACAAACGTCAGCTGGGTGATTGGTGTTGTTTTTTATCATTTGTCAGTCTAAATACTGATATACTGATCAAATTTAACAACAAAATTTAGTAATAAAATGTATATATTTCTAAATAAATAAGCAAATAAATATAAAAGCATATATATATATATATATATATATATATATATATATATATATGCTTATATATATATATATAGAATTTATAGAATATTGTAAAATATATATATATATATATAATATATATATATATATATAGCTTTTCAATTTTTTGTACGACGAACTTAAGTTCATCATCAAGTTTGTTCACCTCATAAACAAAATTTTTATTCGTTTTTTACATTTTCGCTTGAATATTTATGCGCATTTTAACATAAAAGCTTTTTTCGACAATCATTACATATGTACTATATGTACATGATGATGATTGCGTTTTGAAGTTTGCCGCCTGTATATATTTATATATTTAAATAAACATTTCTATGTATGTTCATTGTGTTATTTGCTTTGTTGTTCTGTGTATGGGGATATAGAAAGGAGTATAAAAAGGTGTATAGATTTAGTATAAAAGGTTGTTATGTAGATAAGGCAATCGAAACATCTAAGGCAGCGAGTTGATATACAAACTATCTTGATTTCGCTCTTGGTTTTTAGGTTTTGCACTCTTGATTTTTAGCTCTTGATTTTAGTCGCTCGGATTTTAGCCTATAGTTTGCGTGTTAATTTTAATATATTGCGATTTTGAATATTATTATTGTTATTTTGTATATAAAGACAGAGATTTGATTTTTATAGTTTTGTTTTTATTAAATAAAAGAAGTATATACTTAAAATTTTGGCTTGGCTCAACTATTTGTCTGAAACAATGAATGTTGAAGAAAACTTGCCGAAAGTTGACGAGACCGGAGTCTCTAGTCAACAAGAGGGGCGCCCGGCCCGTGTTTTCAGACCCTGAAAAGGTCTATTGTGGCGGCTCCCGGTCAGGAAAGAGTCCGCCGAGGTGAAAGTTTCTCGGGTGGCTAATCGTATGTGAAAACGGATGAAAACCGCGTGGCGTGGTATTCGAATGCCGCTCAGCGAAAATCTACACAGTTAAAACTTTACGTACACGTTCAAGAAGCATCATCAAATGCGTTTGAGCAAATTAAATCTTTAGTCGGTTTCTCCAATATGTCTAGAAATAGGTTTTAAAAATTTCGCCATTTTTTAACGTTTGTCAAGTTCATTGATTCAACCTGTTCTTTTATATTCAACATTCCGTAAAGATAAGTCGAAAATAAACTCTGCATTTCTCTGAAGGCGGACTTAAGAATATCTTTTTCATTTGTTTTGTCATTTTTTTAGGAAAAAACATTTGAAAACCCTCAAATTATTTAGGAAAACATACATATAAAAAACAATTGAGCAAAGAAACTTGTGATGTTATTTTTAGTGAAGCTCCATATAAATAGTTGAATTGATAAATTAAAACAATTAAAAAACTATATTAAAATTGAAAATGATTATTATATGTAAATATCTGATGAACCAAAATACCCATTATTATGAAAAAACTTAACATAAGCCATACTAATCACTAACACCATCGCTGGAGTACATTGAGAACACAGGTCCCTGGTGACCTTGGATGACTTTCAGCAAAATGTTGTTGCCCCAACAATGTATCAAACCAGAGTTTCCGGCACTGAAACAACTTTCAGCATTGTTTCCGTAAGCCACACAAAGAACTGTTTCTTGTTGAGATACATTACCAAACACACCACGATTTGAATTGAAGCCATTGCCTGGTGTCATTTTAATAAGATGTCATTTTGTGTGTGTTTGTTGATGTTGATAATTACAAATACTGTTATATGAAACATGATACTATTAGGTAGCTGGATGAAATGACTCGATAATGGTAATTAAGTAATATTATTTGGTTGTCAAATTAGCTCAGACATCTCATGTCACATTGACTTGCATCAAAAATTAAATACAATCAAAGGTTCGATGCTGTACTTACGGTTGTATTATATTCGCTCTCGCAATTTTTTTTAACTTTCTGACAATTTAGTTTCTAGAAAGTTGTCGTAATTTAATTAAAGAATTCTATTCGCAAGAAGAGGTGGTTAGTGCCTTAAAATGCTTGAAAACTGAATGGGAGAATAATAAACAGGATATTAATGAAAAATTGATTTTACACAGTACAAATAAAAAAGATAAATTGGTGGACATTATAGCAGTTTTGAAGAGTTTTAAATTAAGTGGATTGACAAATGTCGTTTATTTGTCAGTAAAGATTTGAAATGAGTTTCCGGTTTAGAAAATGTTATAAAGGTGAATTTTGAAAATTTAAAAAATGAGATTAATGAAATGATAATGATCCAGTTGTTAATAACTTTTTCCCTGCTGATCTTATTGTTGTTTATTATTTTTTATTATACATTATTATAATTAAGGTCTTATAGTTTATTTTTTATTTTTGATCTTTCAACTAATATTGACTTTCAATGTTTCATGCTGATGTAGGTATGGGTGTGTGTGTGTGGGCGTACTTCATTATGCTTCATTTTGTCTATGCTTCGTTTAGTTTGTATTTTAATTAATCTGGACATTTTATCTAATTTAACTTGTGTTTTTTCTTTTCACTTCGGGTTTAGGGTGAACCATACAAGCTCGTAAGAGCTTTTGGTTTCTCCTAGCTTAGGCTGAATAAATTATTTACATATATATGGGGGATGGAAGTCAGGTTCCAAACAGCTTCCAAACTACGATCAACAAAATAAACCAAAATCAAAAATTATCGGTAAAAAAACGATTGAAAATAGCAAGCTTACAGCATAAAAACTTTTATTTTTAAAAATCTTTATTTTTTCTGCCTTACCGTTGTCTGCATTATTCAATAAATCAATTAAAATTGGATCTTTTCCTGATAAACTTAAAATAGCCAAAGTTTTGCCAATTTTCAAAGGTGGCGACTCGAAGTGTTTTGAAAATTATAGGCCAATTTCTATGTTACCTATCTTTTCAAAAGTTTTTGAAAACTCATGTTTGTAAAAATGTGGTAATTTTTAATCAAATTTAATGTAATTAATAAATCTCAGTATGGCTTGATACCAAAATCTTCAGCAGAGTTAGCAATTGCAGATTTATATAGATCTCTATTAAATGAGTTTGAATCCAAACTGTTTACGTTAAAGATTTTCATTGATTTAAAAAAGGACTTTGATGTCATTGATCACAAAATCCTTTTATAGAAGTTGTCTAATAGCTTCTAAATGGTTCAGATCATATTTACATGATTGAAAACAGTTTGTTTCCGTCGAAAATATTGAATCCTCATTGTCACTTATTAAAACTGGTGTCCCCCAAGGGTCAATCTTGAAACTATTATTTTTCATTCTGTTCGTGAATGATGTTATTCTCGTGTCCGATCGTTGTACTGCGGTACTATTTGCAGATGACACCAATATATTTTTGTCTGGTAAGAATCCAAAGTGTTGTTTAGAGAAATGGATGCAGAGCTTGTAAAATATTATGATTATTTTAAATTGAACAAAACGGTTTTAAATGTATAAAAAATAATTTTCGGACCCAAAATTAAGACTAACAACAACATATTTGAAAGTTTAACAATAAGAATTGGGAATACTGCGCTACCTCGTGTTCATTACACAAAATATCATGAAACTATTATACAAAGTGATTTAAATTGGACTCAACACATAAATATAGTCATCAGTAAATTATACAAAGTTATTGGCATTGTATATAAATTGCGAAATAAATTAACACCAAACACTATGATAATGATCGATTATGCGTTTTTCTATATATATATATATATATATATATATATATATATATGTATGTAAATGATAGATATATTCACAGCATGTTCGGCGTTAGTTAACTTCCTGTTTAACTTTTCGATTTTTCTAACGGTTGATCGTAAATCATTCTCAAGTTTCTTGAGTTCAAAACCAAAATTTTTGTTTATTTTATGCATGATAGAACAAAAAAAACTTTTTTCGGTATTTCTATACCATCTTCGGTTTTTGAATTAATATGTTGTGCATGTGGCCAGATGCTCAACATACTGTGTCTCTACTCTACTTTGTAGATTCCTGTTTGTTCAAAGTGAATAATTAACGCTCATTTAATTAGTTTTACAATCTTCAAATTCGTCCAATATAACACTTATACGTGTTTTCATTATCGATGATTCCTCTGTTTCAAAGTTGAAGGAGTATAGAAAAAAAAGCATCAATTCCTGTACTTTCGCACATTAGAATTATTCTGCTTCTTAAAGCATATCATTTAAAATATTGTTAAATCATTAAAAAAGTTGTTAAACGAAAAAAAAGTTGAATTCTTTTAGCAAAGTGAATTCATATTTGATATTTGTTTTTGCAAATATAAGATATTAGGTCAGTGCAATTGTGTTTGAGAAGTCAAAATTTCCAAAAAAAGCATGCATTTTTAGTTGATCAAAGAGGTGAAAGAAAAATGAGAATTAGTGATATTAATAGCAATCGGACTAAAACTTTACAAAAAAAGTTAACACGGAAATATGCATCAACAATTAAATGCCAGAAAAGTGATACTAATAACACCCAATCAAGGAACCATGGAAAATAAGAAATGCATCAGAAGTTTACTGTTGTTGTTGCAAATATGTGACCGTTATGGAGTGTCTGATAGAGCTGGTGCTGCAATTGCTTCAGCAGTTTTACACGAACTTTTGTCGGATGTCGTGATTGATAAATCGAAACTGCGAAGATAAGGAAAGAAAACACGTGAAGTCCTTATGAAAAATGAAATGCAACTGAATTTACATGCTTTATTTTTTGATGGACAAAAAGATAGAAACACTGAAAATAGTTACAAACGGAATCAAAAGGTACAGGCATGTAGTTAGTGAAGAACATTTATCTGTCATTGAAGAACCGGATTCCATTTGTTTAGGTTATGTGACGCCATTACAAGGAACAACTAAAAGCATTGAAACGTCGGATAACGCACTTTTTAAAAATATTGAAACAGATGATCTCCTAGCTATTGGATGCAATGGAATAGTAACGAATACAGGAAAATTTAGTGGTGTCATAAGTCTATTTGAAAAAAAATTCCGAGGCCCTTGCAATGGATAATTTGCATGCTTCATTTGAATGAACTGCCTTTGAGGCATTTGTTTGATCACATTGACGGTAAAACGTCTAGCCTTAATGGTATGCTGCAGGATAAATGGGAAACGAAAGATGTAATAGAATTTGAGCCAATACCAGGTCAATTACCGACACTAAAAGATTATGACTTAAGCATAGACCAAAAACATTTGTATGAAATTACATAAGCAGTAATTACTGGAAAATGCTCAGGTAGTTTGGCAAAAGATGATATTCATGGTATGGCAAAAGATTCATGCTTCTAAAAAAATTATGCCAAATTTCACACTGAAGCTTTTATTAAATGTTTTGTGATATGTTACGTTGATAATTCATTTTTCCTAATTGAAGCATTGTTAAAGTAAATGATTAAAGATAATATTCGCATTTATAAGAAAATAATGGCAACTAATGGATGGTGCATCTGTTGCTTTAGCAGAATAAACTAGAATATGACCCATTAAATATGAAAACATCATGTTGGTTCGAATTTGAACAAAATATATGAATAAAATCAGACATCTGCCTAACACTGCACATCCATACACCTAGAATATGTCTAGCAATAAATTAACTTACAACAAGAAATGTACAAATTTGCATAAGCACACAGACAGACATAACTAACAGAACACACATAAATAAACTACATCCTACATTATTATAAATATCCACAACTAAACATCTAATGCTACACAATCATATTTGCCTAAACAGTGGAGGATCTAGACAACTTTGATGGGGGCCAACAAATTGAAAATGTTTAAATTTTCCATGGAGGCCAAGGCTGACGACATTTTTTTGCTTAGAACGTTCAATTTATGGTCAAATTTACTCATGAAACGGTCCTTTTTCTGACTTTAATTAAAAAAATGCTCACAACGGGGGCCCCCAGCTCCCTCTAAATCCGCCACTGTGCCTTAAACTACAAAGACTTTGACAATCATAATATGTACTCAGACCAACCAGCTTGACACCAGAACTTGATGTGTTTGTTGCCAACAGTAACCAACTTGTTACCATCAAAAGGGTTCCACTTCAACATGTAAATCTTATCTTTATGTCCTCTGTCGTGGGTGATGTTGGTGGCGATATAACGATGCTAGTTATAAGATGGTGTTGGAGAGGTGAGAATGAAAAGATGTTGGTGATATGTCGCACGTTATGGATATACCGCCAATATTATCTATTAAACGCATTTAGCTCCTGGCTTGAGCTTTATTAAAATGGCAATGTTTTACGGCAATTGACTTGACCATGAAACCGGTCTTGGTTTTAAACCACCACCTGAATAATCTGGCACCTAAAATACAAATACCAAGTAATCTAGCACCTTAATAACCTCAGAATCAATTCTTTACTAAACGTAGCTGGCGTATTTTACTATTCCTAAAAATCCTGTCACAAAAATTATGATGATGGTTAATATGATACAACGTTCATGCGAACCTCGTAGATGCCAGCTGAGCACCTTTTCTCCAATCCCAGACAACGATCATGTGGTTATCATCAAGTCCCACGCTGGCCAACTTCTTGCCGTCAGCTATGTTGGATGTTGAATGTTTATATAGGTGCTCAAGAATAATTATCTAATTTACTCTGTTTTTGGATATTTATCATTTAGCCGCTGTGTACGTAAACGTTGACAGAAAAATTAATGAAAATGCAATCAATTGCTTTTACGCAACAATAAAACAATAATAATAATAAGGACCATTAAAATTACAACATGAAAAATTATAAGATCAACACCACGAAATAAAATTAAAAAGATGACAAGGAAATGACAAGGGAGAAAAAAATGACAACGTGATGCAACAACAGCAGCCAACCAGTGAAATCTAGAAAGCTGACACCCCTCTGATGCCCTCCCTTCAAGATGCTCACCGTCTTCATGGAGGTCCCCTCCCACACGTGGATGTCTGGTGATTTCCCTATCTTCATAATGATGTTTCATGTTAGTTTCACGTTGATTATGTGTTTTAACGTTGCGTATCAGTGCATTCTAATTGATTACAATCAAGTAATATGATATAAAAATTCTTATTCACATTTTCTCATTCCCGTTTCGATGGTTCTCATTCGAATGAAAAAAATAACAGTAATAATACAATTATTTGGAACCATTCAAATTGGCGTAACATTATAATGTCCAATTTTTAGTTGTAGTGAGATTGGATTGAAATTCCAAAAAGTTTTCGTCCACCAAACGCAAAGAAAAATGGTGTGATGCGTTAAGTCACAGCGTATCCGCAGTGCGTAAGGCAGTTGGTACTCAGAATAATACAAATGAGAGACCAATTATCGTTAAGCAGCATATACATGAACACAATGTTATCGTCAAATAACAATCATTTTCAGCGTTAAAAGCATTATTTATATTGAGCGTAAATATTATCCATGAAAGAGTACAAATGTCACCGTAATTAAAATATGACAATATATTTAAATACTATTAACAAAAAACGGATAAAATTTTTAAAGGGCAGAAAATTTGCTTTTTTCACATAGAACAAAAAAATCTTGACAAAAAATGATTACAACTATTTTCGGGCATCGCAATTGATCACACGAGAAAACAATTATCTTTATTGGCTCAATCAACATCACTCATAATGAAATTATTTTATAACTGTTTAATTTTTGAACTGACCTGTCCAGAAGCAACGATATCTTTGTTTGGATGCACAGTTAGTGATAATATATCATCATCGTGTCCGAGATAAAATCTTTGCATTTTTTGTTCTTTGTCGTAAACAATGCCCACTGCAGCTGAATGGAAGACTATGTTACTGGTGCATATTGGCAGGTAGAACACGTTGTGACGACTGTCGAAGCCGCGATATCTGAATCAAGTGGTTATGCCAAATTTAATTACGACTAACAGTTAACGAACACTTAGAACAATTTAGTACAGATTCAATATATCTACTTGCCGTTCATATCGTTTAATGTTCATTTCGTCTAACGTCCTTTTGTCCGATTAATTTAGTTTAATATGGCTTGTTTTCAAATTTGATTTCTAATATAGGGTTGATATCTAATTCAAACTTTCAACGTTGCAGTCATCTGGAAGCATTTGTACTCCATGTTATGTTTTCACGTTTTGTTTCCATGTCTATTTTATAAAATTTCGATATTTAATATTTCCGTATTTCCATCTTATCAGAAACTTCTCTCGACAAAATATTAGTTTATTAAATGATGCCTTATTTTCTCACAAGTGGAAACCTTTATTGAAGCTTAATGATGTTAATATTGCTTTCACATTTTTCACTGATGTTTTTTCGTTCTAAAATATTGGAGCACTGTCTTTTGGTTAAACATGATAATAAGAAGAAAAAACATCCATAGATAACTCAAGTTATTTTGGTTTCTGCTAAAAATAAAAATAAATAATATTCAGTTTATATAAAACATCCCGATTGTTTGAAAATAACCAGAGTTTTTCCATTGTATAAAAATAGTTCTCGGAATAATTTATCAAACTACCGACCAATTTCTTTAGTATCCACTTTTTCTAAAGTTATTGAAAAGTTAGTTCATATACGTTTGACAAATATCTTCAACAATATAATTTGTCAAAGTCAGTAGGTTTCGCAAAAATAGCTCAAATAAACTGGATTTTAGATTTATGTCAACTGGTTGTGCAAAATATCGGCTTTGGTGCTTTTGCCATTGGAGTTTTAATCTGTTATGGCAGCCCAATAAGTTTTGCTTCGGGCCACCAGCTTATCTTTGCAAATAAAAGAATGAGAAAAAAATTTATAATTGTCTCATTTCTTTTGTAAAAAAAAGTACACAGTGCGCACCACTAATAACTATCAATCAATCTTCGTTTTGCGTCCAGAGACCCAGTTCCCCGAGGTTGGACGTTGTTTTCTTTGCCATCAATTTTTTTGCGCCTAATTAGACGATCAGTTGTATCCATTTCATTTAAATTTAGAGCTTTCATGCCTTCCTCGACTGTTTGCGACCAAGACTTCTTTGGACGGCCTTTGGGATGTGTGTCAGGTACTTCAACATCTGCAAGAGAAGTTATGGCTCTGTTTCCACTTCGTTTGAAATGACCAAACCACCGCAGACGGTGTTGCCGGCATTCGTCCTTTATATCATCAAAGTCAGCACGACGCAGGATTTCGGTAGATTTGATGTGGTCTTTCAAAATAATTAGTTGCATCCATTGGAGCATTTTCATGTCGGTTCGTTGAAGTTGATGTTCCAGTTTGGTTGTCATTGGCCATGTTTCCGCACCATATAACAACACCGGACGTATCCCAGATTTATAAAGTCTTGATCGTACTGGTATGTCACGCCGCATCAATATAGAGGCAAGGAGATGCCATTTATTTCAGGCTGCACGTATGCGTGCTCGAACGGCAGCTTCAGCTGTTCCAGTACAATCCAGAACATCCCCTAGATAATGAAACGATGTGACTTTCTCTACCTTAATGGCTTCAAAAACAGTGCTATTTCAAATTTGTTGTTGTGGATTGATGCAAGCAGGACAAACAAAATTGGACACTTTAGATATAGTACCAATAATTTTTGAACAACGGTTGTGATACCACTGGTTACACTGCCGACACTTGATTGAATTGTTACCTACACCAGCTTTACAAACTGAACAGGGCCATCGTCCAGTAGCTGTGGATTGGATGGGTTCACCAGTGTTCATTGCTTTGGTTTTGCTGATGTTGACTTTGAATCCATGATCGGCGAGTCTGGTGTTCCAATCTTCAAACATATGTGCCGTGTACCACTTATAACTAGGTAATATATTTGGTAAAACATGAGGCATTACAAATTCTGGGCAATTTAGGACCATTGACTTAAAGATTTTATACAGATTTAATTAATCATTAAGTTTCGATTATTAAATTCAACTTTGGATAATACTTGCCGTTTGTTGATCGTTTATTAGAAGATTATAACATTAATTCGAACAAGATCGTGTATATTTGGCCATAAAATCATCCCATAACATATATGATCATTCAAATTTGAAGAAGATTTAAAATGGCAGGATTAAAGGAAAAGAACGAATAAAAAACTATTTATCACCCGATGACATGATCCAATCGGAGACTTGCGTCCGGTAATGAATTCTGCTGATTGGTTGTCTTAAATGCCTCACCTTCGTTCCTATTGGCCAGACCGGTGATTTTTGTTTTTCTCTTCGATGCTTCTATCCACATTAAAAAATTATAGTTGAGAAAATAAATAATAAAATATTTATAAAATTATGGAGAGTTATTTCAATGTTTTTAAAAAACACACTCAATTTTAATACAAGGCATTTGATATTTTATGGACATTCACGAAATCGGGGAGCCATCATGTTTGCACAGCATTTAAACCAGCATGTGTTGAACCATGAATCAAAGTGTGGTCCTCATTACTTGCCCTCTGTGCGTAGTCACACATTAAAATAACCGAATTTATGATAACAATCATCAATTGTTAATTTCCTTTCACCTCCCGCTATCCGCTGCAAAATAAATTGTTTCCGTTATTTCTTTACGATGCAGACTTTTCAATGTTATTTTTTAAATCGGTTATCTCGATTTACGCAACTAAATATTTTTACAATAATTTTTACAATAATTTTTACAATAAATGAGCTGAAATATTCATTTATTTAGACGTGCTTATGATTTTGTTTGATCCAATGCGATTAGTTGGCTGAGTTGTTCATTTATAAGCTCCTGTTTTGCCAAAGATTGAAATATCAAAATTAAAAAATTATAAACATGATTCAACAAATTTAAACATGCATTTGATACTCGACGGAACTGGCTCGATTAATTGTCAAAGTTTCACAAAAAATCGAAGAATGGTAATTTTTACTTCCGTTTTAATCAAAGGTATTTTAATCAACACACGAGAAAATAATGGTGAGAGCGTGTTGTATAGCTTCCGTGTGATAACTAAGATAAGAACACAATGACTGCCAAGCACCACCAACCAGCCGCTCCATCATCACGCCGTCTCACCGTCTCGGAATGGAACGTGTGGGTGGGCACGAAGAACGAGCAGAACAAACGAAGGAGCAATCTTTTCAATGATAACAACAATACATCAGACCAACCTTCTCTCTTTTTCATCTTCTGCATCATCATTATTTCCTTTTTGTTGACAGCACGTTCGTACGTTCTCTCGTTCTCCTTTTCGATATCAGAATCAATGAACGCCACTGAAGATGGTGAAGATGGGTCATCGTCGTCGTCGTCGTTGTCATCAAATGCTTGGCTGGAAGGTTGTGCTTGTGTAAAAAAAGTATTTAACAACCTCAATACTATTATCATCGCCATCAACATCGTCATCACCATCAACAAAGACATTACCAAATCAAAATGAATATCCATTTCAACAACATCACCACCATTGTTACAATTCAAGCGGCGACGAGACAGCCAACGTCCAACGTCCAACAGCCAACCATTTAACCATCAACTACCATGTTGCACAAGCATATGCAGTGAAGATGAGAGCGGTCCATTGATGGATTATTAGACACGTTGTACTACTTAATTGTTACAACGAACTCTGATAAATATTACTTAATTGCAAAAAGCATTAAACAATGCTAACACGTATCGCAACAATTTCATCCTCTTACAACAACAACCTAATAAATTAAACTGTATATATATATATATATATATATATATATATATATATATATATATATATATATATATATATATATATATATATATACGCTCACCAGCTAATGAGATTATGTTACCATCTGCACTCTTATTGGTCATTTTGTTGGAACCGTTCACGAACTGCCATTGGAAGATAGCATGGTCGGCTCCTCCCACACTCAACAATGATTGGCCATCTTTGGTGAACCTGCAGTTGGTCACGTGAGCTGAATGACCAATGTATTTGTGATGCTTGGCTCCTGGATCATTTAAAAAAAATTGAAGTTTAAATAATATTTCTAAAAATAAAATGTATTACCAAAGGCCTAAGAAATCTAGCAATTATTTCTAAAAAAAATAAAAAAACATCCAACAAATTATAGCCACATCATTAAACATTTTGCAACATCCATTGATTTCGTCCTGGGTATGACATAAAACTGCATCCACGCTGCCTTACGTGCTTTTGAGGCTAGGCCCACCGCTTATAACTGGTGGTTGTCGTCAGGATGGGTGTCCGGATGTAAAAACTTTTCCCCTAGTCCCCAGCAGGCCTTAAGTGGTCAAGGGGTGCCAAGAATCCCTGGGAAGTATGCAATAGCGGAAGGATGTTGCAAAAAAATTCAGAATGGCCCCTCTATGGTACTTAGACTTGGAACGCTCAATGTTGGATCAGTGACTGGCCGCAGCATGGAAATCGCAGAAATGCTCGAGCGTAGGATTGACATCTGCTGCCTTCAGGAAACCCGATGGAAATCGAATGGTGTCTGTCATGTCAACTCAGACAAAGAAAAATATAAACTATTCTGGAATGGTCAAAAGACGGCCAAAAATGGTGTTGGAATTTTTGTCAGAGAACCGCTAGCCTAAGAAGTACTGGATATTAAAAGGATTAATTCACGTCTCATGTGGATCAAGCTTCGCATAGAAAAGCAAACAATGATTATTTTTTCTGCATACGCACCACAGACAGGCGAATCAGAAGAGATGAAAAATGACTTTTGGACTGCATTCTCTGACACCATCTCAACAATACCAAAATCTGAAACAATCCTGATTGGAGGCGATTTTAATGGCCATGTTGGAGAGAAAACAGATGGTTTTGACAACGTACATGGAGGTTTTGGCTATGGAAAACAGAATGAAGATGGCAACCGCATCCTTGAGTTTGCTGAAAGTCACGGGTTTTGTTTACTGAACACATATTTTAGAAAAAGTTTGGAACATTTCATAACATACAAAAATGGACCATCAGCCACGCAAATTGATTTCTTCGCTGTCAAGCAACCACACCGAAGGCTGTTCAAAAACGTCAAATTATACCTGGCGAATCATGTGTCGCCCAGCATAGACTCCTTGTGGCAGACCTGGTTGTCGAACTGTCGAAACATAAGTCTAAACAAATGCCTCGGAGAATCAAAACGTGGAAGCTGAAAAGCAATATTCATCGAGAAAAATTTCAACAGATTGTCGCCACACAGTTAGACCACCAATCGCAAGCCAGTACAGATTAGAGTACATACAAAACAATTTCGATAAACGCTGCAACTACAAAACGTCAGCATGAACGTGACACTTGGTGGTGGAATGACAGTGTACAAAATGCAATAGCTGAAAAGAAAGTTGCATACAAGCAATGGCAAAAATCAAAGTCTGTAGATGACCATAAAATTTTCCGTGAGAAGAACAACTATGCAAGACGTCAAGTTGCACTGGCACGGACAGATCAGTGCAGAGAGTGGCTCACTAAAAGTAAAGGTGAACAAATGAAATCTCTGTATCGTATAGTAAAACAAGCAAAGCGTACGAAAAAAGACATAGTTGGTGCCTGTTGTATCAAAAAGGACAAAAATGAGATGGTTCTTGAACAAGATGATATCAAGCTACAGTGGAGAGAATACTTCAATCGTCTGTTAAACGAAACAAATCCCATCAATGTTAACTTTGACGCTCCACCCATCGAAGGTCCGATTCCAGATATCACTGTAGAGGAGCTTACAGAAGCTCTGAAAGCTATGAAGGATGGAAAGGCAGCAGGGCCCTCTGGACTCACAAATGACATTATCAAAGCATCTGGTACTGTAGGTATCCAAACGTTACTACAACTTTGCCGTGAAATCTGGAGAAATTGCTCAATGCCGACTGAATGGAACTATAGCATGACAGTCCCGCTATACAAAGGCAAAGGTGATCCATTGAACTGTTCATCATATCGGGGCATACGTCTGTTAGAACACTCCCTGAAAATTGTCGAAAAAATCATTGAGAGAAGATTAACGTCGTGCATCACAATCGGAAATTATCAATTTGGTTTTCTAGCGAGAAAATTAACAATTGATGCCATTCACATCCTTCGGCAACTGCCAGTGAAGTACCTCGCAAAGCATCAACAACTATCACACATTTTTGTAGACCTTGAAAAAGCATTTGATCGAGTTCCCCGTGAAGCAATCAGGTGGAGTCTACGTCGACAACTCATTCCAGAATATCTTGTTTGACTTGTGATGAAAATGTATACGAATACTAAGACTCTTGTCAGCGCAACGGTTGGGAACACAGATGCATTTGACATCGGCGTTGGAGTTCACCAAGGCTCGATTCTCAGTCAACTGTTATTTATAACTGTGATGGAAGAAATCACAAAACCGATACGCACTGATGACATTTGGAATCTAGTATATGCTGATGATATCGTTTTAACAGCTACGTCTGAGCAGAATGCAGCACAGATGTTTGAAGATTGGAACACCAGACTCGCCGATCATGGATTCAAAGTCAACATCAGCAAAACCAAAGCAATGAACACTGGTGAACCCATCCAATCCACAGCTACTGGACGATGGCCCTGTTCAGTTTGTAAAGCTGGTGTAGGTAACAATTCAATCAAGTGTCAACAGTGTAACCAGTGGTGTCACAAACGTTGTTCAAAAATAATTGGTACTTTATCTAAAGTGTCCAATTTTGTTTGTCCTGCTTGCATCAATCCACAACAACAAATTCGAAATAGCACTGTTTTTGAAGCCATTAAAATAGAGAAAGTCACATCGTTTCAATATCTAGGGGATGTTCTGGATTGTACTGGAACAACTGAAGCTGCCGTTCGAGCACGCATACGTGCAGCCTGGAATAAATGGCATCTCCTTGCCTCTATATTGATGCGGCGTGACATACCAGTACGATCAAGACTTTATAAATCTGGGATACGTCCGGTGTTGTTATATGGTGCGGAAACATGGCCAATGACAACCGAACTGGAACATCAACTTCAACGAACCGACATGAAAATGCTCCGATGGATGCAACGAATCAGTCTGAAGGACCACATCAAATCTACCGAAATCCTGCGTCGTGCTGGTTTAGATGATATAAAGGACGAATGCCGACAACACCGTCTGCGGTGGTTTGGTCATGTCAAACGAAGTGGAAACAGTGCCATAACTTCTCTTGCAGATGTTAAAGTACCTGGCACACGTCCCAAAGGCCGTCCAAAAAAGTCCTGGTCGCAAACAATCGAGCAAGACATGAAAGCTCTAAATTTAAATGAAATGGATACAACTGATCGTCTAATTTGGCGCAAAAGGTTGATGGCAAAGAAAACAACGTCCTACCTCGGGAAACCGGGTCTTCGGACGCAAAACAAAGATTGATTGCTCCATTGATTCCAAACAGTTCCACTTGGTGACAATAAAAAGATTTTATTCAGAAAAAATAGTTTTAAAAAACTGCTATGGCTTACTGAGACTACGCAAACATAATGACATGTGGTATCACCAAAGTTAAAAACAAATAGCATGAAAAATTAGCAAAATGGCCAAAGTTTTAAACCACACAAAAAATACGACTATAAGTGGGTGATGGATGATGATAACCAATCCAACAAATTAGCAACCTTTTTCGTAGGAAGGAAACTTGAAAAGTTTGACAAGTCCAAAATCATCCGCAGTGGCTATGACATCATCATTGACGTCAGTGGCGTTGATGTCGTTCGTGTCTGTGTACTTCTGCCAAATGCCCTTGACCTCGTTACCAAGAACGCCAGTGAAGGTCAACCACTTGATGTTTTTGATCTCTTCAGAGTTCGTCACCCGCTTTCCGTCTGTAACATTTGAAAATATATCAATGCTGACAAATTGATAGGACAATAATATTAAAACAGTAATGAACAAGTTTAATGATGCTTCTCATAGCATTGAAATATGGCTCGAATAACAGCTGCACAAATGTTGAACGGCCATACAATGTGAATTATCATCATTGTCCATCCTCATCATCATTGGCGTCATCATCATCACTGTCATCATCATCATCATAGTCATCATCATCATAATCCTCCTCATCATCATCATAATCATAATCATCATCATCATAGTCATCATCATCGTCATTACCACTACTATCCTCATTATCATAACCGTTCTTCGCCCCTCAATTCAAAATGAATAACATTAAGTCACTCATCAACAGTCCCTCAAGTCAGCACTCTTCCAATCACCCTCATTAACACCATCATCAATATCTGCCTCACCACAACAGACATACATATACATACAGGTAAACATACATCTGCAAACATACAAGTACAATGAACCTGGCATGTTGAATATCAACTTCTCAGCAGCTCCACTTTCGTCGTGATGTACCTTCCATCCACCGACCAATCCAGGTGCGTTATGAAGCTTGAGTTACCCGTACAGACTCCGACCTTATTGAAATGGTCAAATGAACTTAGTTAGAACATTTGGTACACTTAGATGTCCTACTTAACAAGTCATAATAATAATCCATGATATATATATATATATATATATATATATATATATATATATATATATATATATATATATATATATATATATATATTCAGCAGGTCATGATTGTCGTATGTGATGTAACCTTCTTGTAATCATTGTTGCAGTCGTAAACGTCCACAAAGTTGTCGTTGCTTCCGACAGCCAGCCACCTCCCATCGGCTGAATGTTTCATTTCGTGGATCACTTCCTTCCTGTCCTTCCATGCTTTCAACACTTTCATCGACCTTCAGGTGTTAAATATACAATGACAACCTCATCACAAGCCTGACCAATATTGTTTAGCTTTCACAACATGTGAAGACACAAATTACAACAACAACGACAACAAAAACAACAACAACAACAACAATGACGACAAAAACAGCGACAACAACAATAACGACAACAACAGCATGACAAAAACAACGACAACAACAATAACGACAAAAACAACATCATCAACAACACGACAATAGCATCAACAACGACAACAACAGTAACATGAAAAAATGAAAAGAATGATAAAAGTAATGTCTTCTACAAAGGAACCGCTACAGCAGGAAATGTGCAGAAAAGTATATAAGAAAGAAATTAGTCTATGCGAAGAAAAATTGGACAAGAATAAGAAAACTGAACTAAGCCGTTTCCGAAGAGGTCACCACTTGCCATTGAGAGGCCGGTTAAGTCTCACAGATGATGGCAGATGCAGGTTGTACGGAGAGAATAACGAGTTAGTCCCGCATCTGTGGCTTGAATGTCAGGCCTTATCAAAGCTAAGGAGAAGGTATGGACTGGGAAATGACCTCGGTGAACTTAGCAAACGCCCATCGGAGGCAGCAGAAATAATGTTACAGATACTGGACATATTGGAAAAAAACTATTCCGAGAGCAACTAAAACTACGACTGTAACAAAAACAACACAACAACAACAAGACATCGACAACAACAAAAACAACATCAGCAACAGCGAAAACAACGTGAATATAAAAAATGACTTAGTGTTTATGAGAGCCACCGATCCATTGAGCATGCCGACAGCCAGGAGGGATGCATCGTGATTGAAGGAACAGGACCTCATGCCCTCCTCCATGCTTCTCTTGCGTACCGACATCCTACTGCTCAACTCCCATATTCTGGAGGTAGTGGTGGAGATGAGAGTGATTAAAGGTTAAAAAGAAAATTTTCTCTATTATGCTTGCTTCAGAAATATCAACGACAAACACATACAGCGTATATGAACACGCGTGAAAACTACTCATGACACACACTATGTATGATGGGCGGGGATCTCTTTGTATTCGATCCCAGTCAGTGCAACGGAAAGACCAGGCACCTTTAACAGTGACCTCGGTGCCAGGCCATCACGCCATCAAGATGTCAATGATAATGATGAAGATGATGTCCATGATACTGATGAAGATGATGTCCATGATAATGATGAAGATGATGTCCATGATAATGATGAAGATGATGTCCATGATAATGATGAAGATGACGTTCATGATAATGATGATGAGGATGTTCCTGATAACAAATTTACTTTTAATGAATTCATAATTACTCAAAAATTTTTCGTCATCATCCTAATTTCACTCATCTTTGGTGATGACGTGAATGGTATTGTAACAAAACAACGACGATGAATTGATGATGATGAATTGATGATGATGAATTGATGATGACGATGATGAATTGATGGAGATGATAAATTGACGATGACGAATTGAAGATGAATTGACGCTGACTCAACCAGTCTCCATGTCAAACGAGTCTAACGGCAACCAAAAAAATAACGACAGCAATTGCATCCAATGAGTTGGTCACCATCAAAACATGAGCAATAAAAGTGATTATGTGACGCATAACAAAGAAATTGAATCAATGGTTATGATGTTAGTAATAATAATAATAATAATATCAAAACAATAACAACAGAAACAGCCAGCAAAGATTAAAATATGATGACGTAAGGTTTGATATGAAATAACAGAAAGATGAACTGATGACAACCTGACAGTTTTATCGTCACTGGCTGTGGCGAAGAAGCCCTTCGTGACATCGAGACCCCAGAGTTCACCCTCCTTGTGACCTTCCATCACCACTTCCTGTCTCACTTCCTCATCACCTGCTCCACCTCGGATAGAGGAGAGTTGAATTATTTCGCTGTCCTTCGTGCCGATAAGGATTTGTTGCTGACGTTGATAAAGGCTTCTGATCGTCATATCTGCAGAGGGCATTTTGTGGTTAGTCAGTCATGGGGTGATGATGTGTGGCTGATGTGCTGATGATGATAATGTGTGTGGCTGATGTGGTGATGATGATTTACGATTAACCAATGCAGACGGCAATATGCTTAAGATTGACAAAAAATATCAGGAACAGTAATAGTAGTGACTGCTACTGTTCTGTCCAGCTAACGAAGATGATCCATCGGTAAAGATAACAAAAAGTTTTTGAAATAGCAACTGCATATATGTTAAGAGTAATTATTTAAAAGCGATAGTGACGATGTTGGAAAACATTGTATTGGAAGAATTAAGAAATAGAATAAAATAAAATGAAAATCAATAATTCGCCCCAACTAACCAGCAGTGGTGTTATCAGTTTTCAGGTCATGAGTCTTCATCAGCTGCATGTTGAGATTCCAAATTTTCAACACTCCATCCTTCCCTCCTGTCATCAGCCCTTCAACGCCCTGATCACTTCTGTACGGTGCGATAGTGAAGATGGGCCCCTGGTCATTATTCGATTGGTCATCGTTACATTCCATCATATAAATGATAGATATCACAGATAGGACATGTGAACATTGAAACATCAACTATATCATCAGATCATTAAAATATAAAATGTCCATTCGGTTGATATTGAACAGCAATCTCCAAAACAAATATTCTAGATTAGCAACCTTATGCAGTGATTTGAACACTTTGGTGAGTGTACATGCACACCACATGTACACATCTCCTGAAAGTGTAGTCGAAAATGTCAGCAACTCACCACCATCATGGACCACAACATCCAACTTTTTTTTCGTTTCCTTCAAGCTTCTACTTGTCAACAAGTTGTTGTTGCTGCTGCTGCTAGAGTTGCACACGAGAAGACTCAACATTGTTTGAATCTCTCCAACGTTCCCAAAGATTCCTTTCTTAGCAGTTAACGTGTTGCCAGAATGCGTCCAGAATTTGATGTGCTTGACTCCACAAGTCACCAGCAAGTATTCTGCTCGTTGGTCTTTTTGCTGATGAGTCTCATCAGATGCAGACGTTTGTGGGCAGAACTGGACATCAAAAACCTTCGTAACAAAACGATCAATGTTCAAATCAATCCAAGTTTAATTAATTGGTTATTATATTTAGAGAATATTCTTAAATAAACTAGCAACTGTAAAACGTTAAAAATCTTAAATAGTGACCCTGTCTGAATGGCCTCTCGTGACCGCCATCTTCTTTCCCTTCCTCCATTCCCACAGCACAATAGTTGATGATTGGTCAGATCCTACTGAAGCTAAAAGCTTTAAACAGATAAATGAATCCAAAATTATTACAAATAACAGAACGTATACGGTTACTATCATCATTATCATCGTCGTCGTCATCATCATCACCGCTACTAAATATGGTTACTATCAAAAAGAAGAACTCTGGCCCAACTCCGATCTGGCCACAGTATCATCTTAGGCAGTTTCAAGAAAATTATTGATGGCGGTACAGGTAACATGTGTCCTCACTGTCACACGCACGTAGACGACGTGGCTCATCTCGTCTCCTGTCCTGCCAATCCTACGAATCTCAAGACAATAGACCTTTGGCAAAACCCAACCGCGGTTGCTGATTGGCTCAGGCTTCGCCTGACCAATGGATAGGTGGTCGCGAAGGGGCAGCGACAACGACAACAACATGGTTATTATCTTCAACATCAGGTGTGATATGATATGATCTCTACCCACGTGAATTTTAAACATTAACCTGTCCATCCGTGCTAAATGCAATGGCAACAATGCCATGTTCGTGTGCATCTTTCAGGATGGAGATAGTCTCGAGGCTCGTTGAATCCCACACGCACATGTATGGCTGCTTTCCTACCTGGCCTGTTGCTATCAAAACTCCATCTGGGTGCTGCACCAAACTGGATGTTTGTTTCATTTGTATGAAAATTATCAACTGCTAGCATTTTAAGAATTCAAAATTAAAACTATATACTTCTCAGCCTAATGAAAAAGTTTTGAAAGCTCGCAAACTTTAAATGTAATTACTTAAATCTTATAAACAGATTATAATTAATTGATTAATTTTTTTAAATTTATAAATCATTCGTGAAGAAATTAAAAATCCTCATACAATCAATCAAATGAATCATAACTTTTTCAATAGGAAAAAATGTCCTGCAGAACAAAATGCAACTCTATAAAATATTGAACCAAAACGAAACAAAATAGATGAAACACTAAAATGACGAGTCATTTAATGGGAAAGATTCAATTAATCAAATATAATGTGTAATGTCGTAATATAAAACATGCTCTATGCGTATCTGGAATACACTGCCAGTTGATACAAAGAACCGCCCTTCTTTGGGTCTGTTTCATTTATTAATTTATCAGCTCAATATAGCTAATCATTTCCCACTTATCGGAAATTGGTGTGTATGTGTGTGTGAGCGTGTGTGTGTGTGTGTTTGTGAGTGTATATGTGTGTATTTTTCTTGACATTGTTCATATTGTTGAATCTTTTTAATGTATTTAGCTTACTAGTTTCATCTTGCTGGTTAAATGCAGATTATTAATATTTATTATTATTTGTATATCTATATATGTGCAGTTTGGCATTGTTTAATTCAGTTTTAGTTTTATTGCAGTTGTTTCAATTTCTATTTTTTGTATGTTATTACTGTGATTAATTTCGTTTTTGTTTAAGGTAGCCCAACAAGCTAAGCTTTGGGTCTCCTGATTCCGTTTCAGACAAATTTTTTGAATTGTGATGGTGATACAAATTTTAACAATAAATGAATATAAAAAAATTTAAATTAAAAAATATAAATAATTGAAACATTATAAAAATATATATGTAGAATTTATCTAATAACACAATCATTATAAATAAGTATAAATAACTAGAAAGTGTGAAGTATAAAACATGTGCATGGATTTGGGGTACTGATAATAAAGAATAATTTTAATTAATCTAAGTCATAATTTAATAATTATAAGTAGTATAAAGATAGGTGGAGTTAATAAAATAAAAAAAAAACCATAGAATTAATAATAATAAAATTACTCTCTGATTATGTTTAATGAATTCAAAATAAAAGTACACAAAAGTAAAACACAAGATACTACTTTTATTTTTTTTTAAACGCACCCTTGTGTGAAATGCAATTAATGAATGAATTATATTTTTTATATTGATTGCATGATAAAATATTATAATTAAAACTAAATAACCTAATTATGTCATCATTGTGACCAAAATAAAACTTCTGACGTTTCTCAGATGTGTTGAAAACGATTGCTACACCAGCCACAAAATAAACTAGCTCGCCATTTTTATTGTAATATAAATTATTTCTGCACTGGTGTCCTCTGTAGCCGTACACCCATTCTAAATTCAAATGAGCATTTGGTAAAGAAGTCATAATTTTTTTATTAAAATAATTAAAAAAACTCAGATTTATTATTTATTATACGTTTATTTATCAATGAGAGGTATTGGCAAATCACTGGATCGTTGTTGCCATGGTTTTGTAAGCAATATTAAAAGATATCACCAAAGATAATGTTTAAGTATTATTTAAATTTATCATCATATTATTACTAATATTCTTCATATATGCTAATATTCTACTGTACTAATAGTTCTAACTAATTATTATTATTATATTATGAATCTCTATCAGTGATAAAAAAACTTTAAAAACTATATGCAACAGCAATGATTCCAACAATAACATCTGCAAAGGCACCGTCAACAACTGCAGTCGTATCATCACTGGCCTCAACAGCAACAGAAGCGGCAAACTTTGCAAAAGCAGGAAAGGCCTCAAAAAGCGCCATCGTTCATGCAAGGTCCACAAAACTTTACAACTATCGACTGTTACGAAGACATTCGCAGGGAATACTCCATCACCGGCAACACTGCCACAAGAGCATCAACCAATGTCGACATCTTCAATAAGTATCGAACACATTGAGAAGCCCCTCCCAGGAATCAAACTGCCAAAAAGAAACCCTGCTACGTAGACGGCAACTTATTGTAGGTTTTAGTTGTCTAAACGTAATTTCTTCCAAGGTCAACGTAAAGGTTAAACGCTTCATTTCACTTCCTATCAATGTGTAGCCTTTTTTAAAAGTTTAATAAAAATCAAGTAAATAGTTCACTGTAAAAAAAATTTCGTTACTTGCAAATTAAAAATAAAATATGTAAGTAAACATTCTAATAAAAAAAAATCATAGCTATCGATAACAGTGCAAGAAGTATAATGCGTTTCTCAATCAATCAATCAATTTTCAATCAATTAGCTTATAAAGCGCTATTTCCGCGATGTTCAACAGCGCTCCTCAATGAATTTTGAAAACAGATGGGTCTTGAGATCCGCTCTGAACTTCGCAAGTGATGGAGAAATAGTTAGAGAAGTAGGTAGAGAGTTCCAGAGAAAAGGACCAGAAAAAGCAAAAGCAGATTTGGCAAAAGAGTGTTTAACACGAGTTAAGAAAAAGCGAGAAGAAGAAGACGATCGTAAACCGGGGCGTTTAGATTCAATTAATATATCTGATAAATACTTAGGAAATAATTTAGATTGAGACTTATACATGAACGTGCAAATTTTAAAAATTATTCCATATTTTATAGGTAGCCACTGCAAGAGAACAAGATATGGAGATATATGAGAAAAGAAAGGGGCACGAGCAACTAGACGAGCAGCAGAGTTAAAAGCTTTACTTAAAGGATAGAGTATAGAGTCAGGAAGACCATAATAGGGCGAGTTACAATAATCAATCCTAGATCAGACTAACAAAGTAACAAGAAGAAGAAGAGTAGGATCATCAAGAAAAGGCAAAAGTTTTTTTATTCTACGAAGATGAAAGTAAGAGCTTCTAGCAACACTATTAATCTGAGAAGAGAAAGACATAGTAGAATCAAAGATAAAACCTAGACTACGAAACTTATGAGAGACATCAAGAGTTTTAGAGTTTTCTCATCGCACAGTTTTTATTCATCAAACAATTAAACACAACATTCGATCTTAAAAGATTTAAAATTCTTTATACTATCAAACTTAAAGTTGTTTAAACATAAAAAACGCTATTTACACTGTACTGCGTATGAATGATAAATATCAGTGGATGCTTGCTATAAAAATGTGGTTCACATTGGGGAAGAATTTACTTTTCTCGTTCAACATACAAATATTTTGATCAAATAACAGCTATAGAAAATTATTAATAATTCTTACATTAGCTGTTGAATTTAAATTCTGTTTAATTCGTTGAAGTAATTAATTTTTTGATCCTGAAGTATGACAGGACGTGGAAATCACTTATTCGTGGTCATCATCTTCTTGTTCGGGATCAACAAGGAATTTGGTCGGCTATCCTTAATATTTGGTAACCTGACAAACTACATTTTATTAATATTTTTAATGTTTATTTTTTTTGTTTTTAGAGATTCGATTTTAGAAGTTCGTTAATTTCAATTTATTTATAATTATAATTAAAGCGCAAGATTTTTTGCAAAATCTCAAAAAAGATTTCAAGCCTGAAATAAATGAAATGAAATAAACATATGCAGAAATATTAGAAATAAATTAATTAATTAAAAATTAATTAAATTAAGTAAGTAATTGAGGCAAGTGATTAAATTTGAAATGTGGAACGGAATACTGGTCTAAACGATTTGAACATTGATAGATAAAAGCTCTTCAAGAAGTCAGAAAATCCAACAAAGCAAAGATTTTTTAGCAGCAGGGTGTGCATAATGCATGAGGTGCAGTATGCATAAATGTGTACATCAATGTCAAAGTGCATTTAAATAATTAAAATTAAAATCATTAAGTTTCAATCATATGCCATATTTCAAAACAATGATCATGCAATCCTATATTACATTTTTTGCACCCTTTTCTTGTGTTTTTGTGGCAGTGAGCGCATCGCTTCTGAGTTTCCAATTGGCTTTGAAAATGGTCAATCCTGTCAGTTCTAACATCGATGCTGACTCTTTTGTTTGCCGAAGTTAATTTTCCTTTAGGACGCCCAGGTGTACTTTTTTGTAAATTGTACATTGATAAATAGTCAAGCACTACTCTTCTTCGGAAGGACAAAAGATCTAAATTTTCATCCTCGTCAAAAAAATACGAATTTCTTCTAATGTGGTAGAAAAATTATGCTTTCCTTTATCTCTTCTTGCATATAACTCTGTCATGTCTTTAATGAAATTAATGACACTGTCATCAAAAAAGGCATTAAAAAGTTGAGTTGGTGTCAAATTAATATTCAATTTTCTCTCAAATGGTTTTGGAACAAAGTCTTTATCCGGTAAATTGCGTCTAACCCATTCACTTTTCATGAATTCTGGTATTTCAGCTGATAGTAAACTAGTAACGCATCATCTTTGAATAGTTTATCAACACTATCAACAATATCATCTCCATAGTTAATTCTGAAATCAGCCGGGGCAGTCAATTGTTGTGCACTAAGATTGTCAGCATTTGTGTTTTCTTCGCCACCACTATCTTCATCCGAACGATTACCAGAAGAAGGAGGCAATAAAATTACATCAGCATCCAAAAACGTTTCATCTTCCAGCATTGATAAAACTTCATTGACTCTATATCTGTAAATAAAAAATAACGGAAAATAAAATGGAAAAAAAGAAATGAACCAATAAATGCATCTATCTACACATTTGTGCCTACTGTACTGCACCTTTATAAGGTGCATTTATTGAGAAACTAATAATAGTTTGTGGAGAGCACTGAAATACTGGATTTTCAAACATTTTAGAAGTAGGAATAATTGTAATAAAAATCATCAAAAGAATGAACATTAATTATTAATGTAAACATTAAAAAAACAAACTTTTTAGATTCCATTTTAGCACTTGCCATTGTATCAACTTTTTTTAACAAAATACGAAATTTCTGACAATCAAGCGCGAACACCAACAAGAAATGAATTAATTACTTATTATAAATTGTAAACAACGCTAATATTACCAAAAACTGTAAATATTTTTTAATTTTGAAGAGTTCTAAAGAAAATAATAGCCGCACCCTATTAAGGTGCAGTAGGCACTAATGGGTTAAACCATAGACTCCTAAATAATAGATACTAGATGAGAAACTGAAATTTACACATGCCCAGACTGAGACCATGCATTCTATACTACACACATAAAGTAAACGTCGAAACGTCTTTAATTCTGCAACACTTAAACATTTTAATACTTTGAACAAACGATTAAAATGTTAAAACGATAAATATTTTAAACATTTAATAAAAAAATAAAAACAGTATTCATTGCAAAAAAAAATATAATTATGAAAGTAAATTTAAATGTTCTGTAATTTACAAAGTTTTCTTTTTTATAATTAATAGTCTTTATTTCATTTGCATTTTCTGTAATTGATTTAATTAAATGATTTGCAACAATGTTAAAAAATACATTTGAAACTAATTGTTTGAGATTATGCCCTGTGGTGCAAAATTTTGGAAATTCATTCTCCAAGTCATTATTGTCATTGAATCTATTTACAATATCACCAAATAATTGTTGCTGGTTTGAAACAGAGAGAAATTTGTGTAGTAAAATATCATTGTTTTTTAATTCTTCAAATGCTTTCCAACATATCAGAGTAAAATAGAAGTTACATGATGATGGTTTTTTTAGTCCCCCACGATTTATTAGATCGAAATATATTGTTCTGGAATCATCATCCAATTCGATATCAAAATATGAGTTTATTGCCAAATTTTCCAGACATTGTGCACATTTATTTTTATGAAAAATAGATCTAGCAATATATCCAGCAACAACATAAATAGAATCAAGTGTTGTTTTTTCAGGCTCGTAAAGATATTTGAATTGGTCAACAATATCATCTGCCATTTTTGAACAGTCTGAATTTTTTGATGAAGAAAAAGCCAGTTTGATATCATTAAAATCAAAATCACTATTTTTAAATAATGAAATTCCACATATTTTATTGTGGTTGTCGATCACTTGTTTCATAGATATGTAGTAATTTGTCCTGATAGCGAGATTCCAAAGAGTCTGACTGTAACTTGCCTAGTAACACATAATTAAAATGTTGATGAATACAGACACTGATAACCTGCAGTACTAGTTGACATGGGAATAAAGGCCTGTTTCATCAAATTAATTGTAATTCTTCTTTTAAAAATGATATCGTTTTAATTATTTCATCATTATCCAAAGAGCTTTCATCAATAAGGTCTAAACATTTTTCAATTTTACTGATTCCATTTGTGAGAATAATGTCCCACGATAGCGGTCTGTCACATTCACTGATGGCTTTGAATCTTGCAGCAATATTTAACAATTGAGAAAATTTGGTTAACTTTCCTTGCAGTAAATCATTATAATTTTTTTGCAGGATAGCTTCCCCATACACTTCTACAAACAAATGAAACTCAGGTGTCACTAATATTGAACAACTAATAGATAAATGATGTTTTTCATCAACCTTTACTATTAGTAATACCATGTTGTTGTCTATGAATTTAATTATAAATTCAGTAGAAAAAGTTATTTCTTTCTCTAATTTCATTTTAATATCTTCAAGCTTCCGACCTACGATTGAATCTTCTTCCATAAAATTTCTTTCCAACTCTCTGAGTCTTTCCATTTCTTTATTACTCCTACTGCTTCGAAGCGCATTACCTGATCTTGATGTAGTTTTTTCACACAACATATGTTTTGAATTATTAGAAAAAATAGTTGGAACCGAATCGGGTTTAAGTCTTATCAAAAACGTATCCTTGTTGTTTCGGCGTTGACGAGCGATTTTGCTGTCCTGAGATGATGTGATGAAATCATCTGGAGTAAAATGCTTCGAACAAACCCTGGTATGTTGCGAAGGATGAAAATCTTTTCTCGCGATATTTTTCAACCACTTTCTTGCTAATTCTTTGTCATCAATTGGAAATTTATGAAACGTGATTTTCTGTTTCCCGTAATCTCAGACGCCGAACGCTTTTCTGACGTATATCCAGATTTACAGCCATAAACACAACATTTATTAACCATTTTGAAATTAATTATTTAAAATAAATATTTTTATTAACTTTAATATTTTTAAATAAATCAGCGAAATAAAAAGCAAAATCAATACAAGCGTTGATAAACGAAATCAAAACGTTCAAAAGTAAACAACAGCAACTTATATAGCGAGTAGCATTTATGCATCAAACAAGCATGGCCTCAGTTTGGGTCGAGCGCACACGAAATTTCATTTAGTTTCTCGACCAGTAGGATATTATTTAGGAGACCATGGTTAAACTTTGTTATTATTATTATTATTACAATTAAACCAGCCCCTCTAAAACGTACTCACTTGCAGTAACGAGCATTTTAGATTAAATAGGATTTTATAATTATTTCATTATTAATATTTGGTATTTGGAGTTAGAAAATAGAAGGATGTTCCCATTATTATTATTATTATTATTATTATTATTATTATTATACTATTATTATGTGCGCAACTGCATAATTTGAACCTGCGATAGACTATACATTATACAATTATTATTATTATTTTATATCAAGTAGCACGGGCATAGCCTCTCGCCAAACAAATAAAAATATATCAGATGGAACTAGCAAAAGCAGCATCGACAGAATTGAACTGAATATAAACACGTAATCATATGAAAAAGTACACAAAAACCAAAATGATGATAAATAAAACAATAAATGACAAATTCAACAAACAAGATAGATTTAACTGTACATACAGGTACACAAATCTAGTACAAATAAGAAATTAGATGGCCAATAGAACTTGGAGTCACCGTAATAACTATCGACTGCTGACTTGAAACCGCTCACGGAGATGGCTTTAAAAACGGCCGAATGCAATTTGTTCCATTCTCCCACCACTCTATTCGAAAATAAAATTTACGGCAGTCTTTACGGCTAGAGCCATTAGTTAGCTTGAAGTTGTGGCCCCTTGAACGAACATCGTATGCAAACAGTAACGTAGGGACAATATCGACAGGAAGCTGACCATGTATAATATTATTCTATATAACAGTTAAATTAAATTATTAAAAATAGTATAAATATCATTTTGGGTTTTCATTTATATATTTATTTATACATAACATTTATTTATATAATAATATACTTAATTACAAAAAATGTTGTTTTTAAATTCCGACCAAATGATTTTACTTTTATTTTGGAAAATACCGTAAAGCAGAAATTTATTGAAGATGTAAAAAAGTCAAAGTATTATGGGATAATGTTTGATTCAACACCTGATACATTACACCAAGACCAATTAGGCCATATTATCAGATATGTTCATATCAATAAGAAAATTTTAGAGGCCGGAGAATTGTTTTTAAGATTTGTTCCTCTTGCCAGAAAGAAGGCTATTGCATGGATATATATAATATTATATGGGCTATTGATATCACATAAAAAATTGCAGACATTATTTATGAAAAGGGTTTTTATTTGAATTTATGACGAAGCCAAGGTTATGACAAAGATTCAGACAGCGCCGGCCCCATGGTATTTTTGACGGGTCTAGCAAAACTTGCAGACGCGTCCCTATGTGTTATTGATACCACCAATGGAAGGTAGTTAGCTTAACATTAACGAACAAGTACATGCGAGTTCAATACGCAAAAATTTTAGATATATGCTAGAGATTTTATAATTAATTTTTAATCTAAGTGTAAAATTGAATTTTTTAAAGATGTGTTTTATTGAAAACAAGTATACAAATAAGCAATATAACACAACTAGATGAATTTTACAACAAACTTTTTTATTACACAGATAAAAAATTCTCCTAATTAAATCAGCGAAAAAATGATCAAAGTTATTGAAATGTAACTGCTTTAGCTTTTTGGTCAGCAAAATATTTTAGCAGGCTTAAAAAATCTTAATTTCCTGCCATTTCTTACTTGATTGATAACTTGGTAAAAAAGTTAAATTGATCTTGCAACTTAGTGTTTTTCAAATTTGTTTTATTTAGCTTCAGTTTAGAAAAAGCTAAGTTCCCAACAGTTAGAGGTATTGTACGAAAAATGCCCAGAACTATCTATGTAATTGGATATAACTCTTGTAAAGAACGTGTCTAATAAGG